TGTTCTAAAGCCATTAATTTATATTGCATATAATTTACTGTGTCCTTTTCAATCTGAAACCCAGATATAAATAGAAAGATGAATAAAAGTAGTTTCGAACTTTCCTCTTACTCTAATCTCTTAAATGTTTTTATTCATATGGATACCTTTGTATTATATATTGAGAATATCTTTAAACTAGGTTATGTTTTTTTGTAAACAAGTGCAGTTAACTAAGTTTAAAAGATTCTAATATGTATTTTATTACTTTCTTAATATCCTTACTTACGTTAAAATGATCTTCACAACAGTATAAACAGCTCAACCACGATACATTGTGTTTTTTCATCGCTTTACACCAGTTTCTTCATATACCTTGATCTTTCGGCATAAGGAAATATACTTTGTCAGGTGCAGTTTTGATATTGTTTGGGCACAAAGGAACGGCACAATATTTATAATAAGTTTTTATTGGCTTTTCCATGGTAATAAGTTAATTTTTATCACTCACTTTTTTAACTTTCAGAAACTTTGTGAACTTCACTCCGTTGTTGACATCGAATTCGTCTGACAGTGTAATCTGACGTCACAAAAAAAGCGCGCCAGAATGGACGTGTTCAAATTGCCCCAAAATGATAGTGATTTTAATAATTTTTTTTTTGCTTAACGGTTTATATTTCGGATGTGTTATATTTATTTTTGGTAATGTAATAACTAGTAGAATGGTTAAAAAAAATAAAAAAAATACATGCATATTCCCTATTGCACTGTGTTGCCAGTATCTTATGATTTTTAAGATTTATGTGTGATCCAAAGACAGAAAGAAATACTGTTTTCTATGATTTAAAAATAAATACAATTAAAATGATTATGTATAATTTTTAACATTTATAATATATAAAACAACATTTAATAAATATAATTTTCTCCCTCAATTAAGCAATGTTATAGGTGTATTTTTTTAAGTAATTGGCGATACTATTCTGGCAACACCCTTACCACCGCTATTTTAATCTGTTTAGTCGTCTTCCGTACTCTCGTGCGCACAGACTACGTTCTCTTGTGTAACCGTTGTTTTTTGACTCGGCTTTCTCCTGTTTATCGTTGCGCTTTATTGGACTAAGTTTGTTTGTGTTTGGTAATTTTGTTGAAAATGCCGAAACGAGGAAAAACATTGAATAGTCAATGTCGTGAGCTTGTACTAAAGCTACAGGATTACTTTGAGCGTGAGTCACAAAATGGCGGCCCTTTGATTCCTGTCACTCAAGTGAAATATCGGGTTTCACAAGCTCTTGGAATTGGTGCAAAAACACTATATAATATAAATAAAGAAAAATTTGGTGCTTCTGGAAGTGAAGATAATGTTTTACGCACTCCTAAGAAAAAACGAAGACAAAAGCCCGTGACAGGTGTTGATGTTTTTGATGCAGATGCAATAAGAAACCACATATATGGTTATTATACTAGGAACAAGTTTCCAACTAGACGTTTGCTTTTGGTCTCTTTAAAAGAAGCTGGCTTGTTTAAAGGCGGTAAAACGGCGTTGTCAAAACTATTGCACGAAATTGGGGTTGAATATAAAAAAAACGAATAAAAGGAAAATATTAATGGAAAGATTTGATTTAATAATTAAAAGGAGTGACTTTTTAAGAGAAGCCAGATAAATCGAGTCTTGGGATAACGTCGTTTTTGTTGACGAAACATGGTTAAATGCGAACCACACTGTGTCAAGCTCTTGGACTGACGAAACAAAAGCATCAACCTCAAAGGTTCCAATTGGAAAAGGATCGCGACTGATAATTTGTCACGCCGGTTCTGCTGAAAGTGGTTTCTTTGAAAATGGACTGCTGGCTTTCGCGTCAAAAAGTACTTCCGATTACCACGAGGAGATGGATACAGACACTTTTACGAATTGGTTCGAAAATCAATTATTACCCAGCCTGCCAGAGCCTCCTATCATAATAATGGACAACGCTTCATATCACTAAAACAAGTGAATAAAGCGCCTACTCAGGCCGACAAGAAAGCTGATCTCGTAGCATGGCTACACCAAAATGGAATTGAAACTACTGCCGAAATGCTAAAGTCTGACTTAGTAAAGTTGGTACGCGAAAATAAAACATCAAGAGTCCGTTATGAAGTAGATGAGATAGCTCTGGCACATGGACATCGGGTACTTCGAATTCCGCCTTATACCAGTACATATACGCCAGTACAATGCCATTGAGCTAATATGGGCACAAATCAAAGGTATTGTTTTTTATCGCATAAGTAATGAATATGAATAATTTGTACTATTATAACATCCAATATTCAGCATATAAGTAAAAAGATACATAACTAAGAAATAAATATCTCATGTCCCTTACATGTAGGTAATTGTGTAACATTTCGTTTATTTAATGTAATAAATTAACGTTATTTAATGTTTACATTAAAGGTTACGCAGCTCGTAATAATACGTCTCCGCCATTCAGTACTAATAAAATGATGGGTCTATTAAAAGATGCTTGCAGCAAAATAACGAAAGAAGATTGGGTCAAGGTCGTCGAAGACTCGAAAACTAATAACAGAAGATTATGAACGCGATATAAGAGTGGACACCATTATAGACAATGAAATTGTCATACAAGTGACTGATAGCGATGACAGCTCGAGCAGCAGATGGCGAATCTGGTTCAGAGTCTGAATAATTGTTTTAATAAATGATAGGTAGTCATTTATTAAAATATCTTGTACCTACTCTATTCATTAAAATGTGTAACAGTGTTTACAAATTTGTTTTATTTTGATATGACCTCGACCAATTATCTACGCCCATCAAGGATACTCCACCTGGGACTAATCCCACCCACACGCCCACCACTGTAACTCCTGTACACCAGGATCCACAGCAGTGACCCACGAACACACCGAGTTATGACACTCGGGAAGTCCCAGGAAGAAATTAAACTGTCTTGGAACCCGCAACGAAATTAATCAGAAGAAAATTGGAGGAGTTGGAAATACAGTAAATCCACTTCCCTCCTTAGCAAAGCGGGAGACAAAATGAAGTAAAATAGGCATACACCCTTTTAAACAGGGAAGCACCACGGCCACAAAATATTACGGGTCCTACATGAGCTATATTTGATTTCTATAATATGTATGGCAGAATCGCCTAAACGCACGGAAATTCACCCTAGTTGACACAAGATCCCCATACTATACCGCCCCAGATGTCACCTGCAAGCTATTCAGCATTATATTACGTTCATTATACCAAAGACTACATTCCCAGAGGATATGATGAGCAGACTGTTCATAATGAGAGTTAGGTGTTGAGCATTGACACAATGGTGACTCGACTAATTTAAATGAATACAACTTGCTCTTAAAGTTACCATGACCCGTAAGAAATTGAGCGACACAGTGATCCACCTCAAGCCATGTCCTCGACAACCGTTCGCGAACAGATGGAAAAAATTGGTAAAGATGGCGCCCCTTGGATGATTCGTCCCAGCGTTGCTGCCATTCGTCTATGAGGTCATCATAGACATCGGACTGCTGTTGAAGCAATCTTGTAATTTTACCGCGAAATCGCATTCCATGTTTTGTCTTGAATAGTACATGGCTGCACGTCTCTGCACCTCGAGATCGACCGGAAGGACACCTGCCAACACCGGCAAAGCCTCAGTGCTAACCGTCCTATATGCCTTGGACAAAAATATCAGTGCAAGTCGTTGGCCTTGTAACAGTTTGCGACGGACAGCGCCTACGGTCGCCCTATCGGCCCATACAGGTGCACCATAGCACATAGAACCTAAATAAGTAGCTCCGTATATGATCTTTAATGTATTAAATGATAGACCCCATGTCGCAGTTGATATCCTTGTCAATGCACAGAAACTCTTTTTAGACTTTTCATTAACTATTTTAATATGTTCGATAAATGAAAAGTTTCTTTCTAAAACTAATCCTAGATAACACACTGTGGTTTTATTTTTTACAGTAACATTGTCAAATCTCATGCTCGGCGGTGATTTGAGGTTACCTTTTAAAAGTAACTGGAAGGTTTTGTTGGGTGCAAAAGTTAAGCGATTACGTTCACCCCATTGAGATATCAAGTTCAAACATCTATTGGCTAATCTCTCAAGCCCCGCCCTAGTATCAGATTCCACCAGTAATAAGCCGTCATCAGCATACGCGTTCAGAGTACATCCGGATGGTATTGGTATCGTAAGAAAATCGTCGAAGCCGATATTCCACAAGTATGGACCTAGCACCGATCCCTGAGGACATCCCACATACTCCACCTAATAAAGAACCTGTGTCTTTAACTATTATTTGTTTTGATTTTATTTAATTACACACTATACTAGAATATTTAAAAACAAACTGTTCCCAAATGATATTAGGGTTACTGGTTCAGTCACTTCACTAGTATTGTCAATTCGTCATGTGTCAAATCGGTAATAACTCAGCGGCCGTACTATAGAAAGTATACCCATTAAAAAAAGGATAATTTTTAAAAACCGTTCAGCTGTCTTTGAGTAATCAGGTAACATAATTGTAAAAATAAGTCGTTCTAAAAATATATATTTTTAAGGTCGGTTAAAAATCGATTGCTGGGCTTTTGAGATAATGATTTTACAAATGTTCATAAGCAAGGTTTTAACATAGAGATAACAATAAACGCGTCAGACTGCCCACAATGAATCCTTAAATCACTGAATAATATAGACGAACACATAACGAAATCCAAATATTTAAACGAATGACGAAATCAATGATTCACAGTATAAGCCATATTACCAGGTGTTCTCAGAAAGGAAGATAAAAAAAGATTATCGCATATTATTAGGTGTTCTTGAGTTTTAAGAGAAAAGTTTGACCGTCACGAGAAAGCGTACAGTTTTACATTACTGCCTTAGTAATGTAAAACTGTACGATTTAATAAGATATTGTGAAAATGAACGGATTTAGTATTTATGTGAACATATGTCAAAATTAGGATATATGCATATTCTGATAGTACATACTCTGCTATGGCCCAAGCGATTCCGCAGCCTTCGTACGTCGACGTGCCTCGTCCCAACTCGTCGATGAGAACTAGCGAGTCGGGTGTGGCGGTCTGGAAAAAATAAAGGTAACCGTTCACAACAAAACGACAAGATCGCTGGGCCCACTAAACAAAAATACTAACGACAAAAATGTACGTCACGGAGTGACCTTTTATATACATAATAACCTAAAGCGGCAGAATAATTTAATCTCGGGTCGCCGGGCGTCGATCCGACGGTTTACGGAAAATTTACGGTCAGCGACCGGGTCGACATCCGCCGTAAGGAAGCCGCAAATCTTTAGCTAGTTCGTGAGTCGCGACTGAGATCTCACCCGGAGTATAGCGGCGGTGTCGATCATCTCGCGCATGAAGGTGCTGTGGCCCTTGCCCTCTGCGTCGCTGGCGCCGATGCGCGCGGCGAGGGCGCGCAGGCGCGGGAGCGCGGCGCTCGCGGCGGCCACGGGCGCGCCCGCGTGCGCCAGCAGCGCCGCCGCGCCGCACGAGCGCATCCACGTCGACTTGCCACCCATGTTGGCGCCCGTCACTATGTGCACTATACCCTTCCCTGCGAACGACGATGCGATCGTGCATGGACGGTGTCGTATGGAACGGCAGATTTCAAGTGTTACTGACATACGTCCCGAAGGCATTACCCCCGGAGACAGACTACACATACTAACGAACGAAAGCATAAGCCCTGACCGCCAATCAGTTACACTTCATCGGTTTATTAGGCGCAAGCTTTGAACCGTCGCGCGCGACCGAGCGACGTGCGGAAACGCGTGGGCTAAAGCGCCATCCGCCGTCGACTGCGGGCGTGTGGGTCCTCGGGCGCATGGCGTCAGGTCATCGTGATTGTGAATGGCGTTGTTTAAAAAATTGTGCTTCGAGTACAAACACGAGTGAACAAAAATATATTACCAGATATTTTGTCAGAGAACCCTGCGCCTTACACATATGTACTAAGTTAGATACCTAATATGCTGATGTACCTTGGTATATCAGTATGTTAGCAATATATCTTTAAGTGCACTCACTATCAGCACACAACCAAAAGACCTTAATTTTTTTTTTTATTTAACGCTATGACTTCTTGAACATATACACATTCTCATTAAACTTTCTACATCTACTATACGCTTTTGTTACCTACAACCGCTACATATAATAGGAGGCCGCAATAATAATAAAAAAATAAAACTGGATCTTAAACAAGATACACAGTTATTCAGTGAGTTGAATATGAGTGAGAGAATGGCATCTGTACTACAGTTTACCAGACGCTCCTGACTCTAGGTATGTTCGTGCTAAACATTATTATGTGGGTATAACCTGATTGGGTGAGAGCTGAAAACAAAAGTCAAAAATAAATAAATGCAAATGTATAGGTACGTGGCATGTGGTACAGGTGTGTGTGTGTGTGTGTTTGTATGTGTAAAAAATGACATACATTTATACCATAGCTACGATATATACATACATTTTCTTAAAGTAGAAGTACACTAAAATGTTGAATAAAAAGTGTGCCCAAAAAAAAACCTGGAACCCACGGCTGTACTACAAACCACCGTATTCAATTTGTACCATCTACGGGTATACTCAAACATTCACGCAAAAACTTTATCAGAAATGAAAGTAATTCTTAGAATCCATTTATAGCGCCACAACCCGGGTGGCGTTTTCAAGTTGCAGATCTAAGCCACTCGAATAGCCGACCTAAAAACACAATAGTGATGGTTTTGACAAAACTGGCCTGTCAGTCTAGTGATTAGTGGCCCTGACTGCTACGCTAGACAGAGGTCGTGGGTGCAATTCCCACCCAGGACAAATAATTGCGTGATGAGCACGTCATCATCATCATCATCAGAAAAATCAGAAAAAAACTCAGACAACCGTGTCTGAGTTTTTTTATTTAATATGGTATTCAATTCAATTAAGTTTTTAGATAGCTTTTTAATAACGTTTGAAGGATCTTCCAAACGTTAGTAAAATGCTAATTGCCAGCACTCAACTGATAATGATGATGATGAACAAGGCATTTTATATCTTTTTATAACTGTTTTGAAGCTAACCTAATTATATTTTCGGTGTCTAAATAGCTGCAGCTACGAAATAGTAATATTGTTATTTCAAAGGGCGGTACTAAAAGTTGGTAGGCGGTTACCATACCGTTTCCCGACCACTGATCTTTATAGAACTTGTAATGTGCTCTCTGTCCGTAAACTATTTATCCCCAATGACTAAATTTTAATGTAAAAAAGCGGTTACCAAGTGGTTAATGAATTAGGTTAAGACGAAACTGAAAAGATAATCTGTACTTTAAAATAAGTACTGTACCCCCCAAACACACACAAACACGCATGCAATAATATCTAATGTTCCTAATCCTTTTTAATTACTATATTTTGAATGCATTTTTTTTATATCACGTCCCTCAAAATTTAGATGCATCGCTAAGGAGAGAGCCTGGAGATTTGTCACACAGGTTTCGAAACTACTACAAACTCCAGCTCTCACTAAGGTGTCATGTATGTTATATTTATTATAGTAGTATAACAAACCAATGTACCTGCTTACCTTTATGAGACAAATAAACCTTATTAAAATGCCCGCGCCTTGGCCGAAGTCTCGTACAAAGCTATCGGTGTCTTTTGACTTGATAGTCTAATACCGTATTGGGGATGAAGTTTCACTTTGAACTCACCTCGACGGAACTCCACATCATTAGGAATATAAGATACACCTTCCTGTATCTCAAGGCAGGGGTGTCTTAAGTCCTTCAGAACAAACTCGTCCAAATTTTCCGTTATTTGTGGACGGCAATAGGGCGCCGGTGCGCTCGTAGACGCCACCGCGAACGATACCAACACGTCTAGTCTCGACAAAATGTGTGAGAGACAGAACAAGCACTCGGAGTAGCCCGCTATGGAAAAACAAACAACAATTATTAATGCGACATGCTCTCATATATGCTAGACTTCAAGGTATGTATTAGCGAGCACGCGGCATACTGCTATGGAATATTCTTTTTTTATGGCTTAGGTGACGAACGAGAAGATAGGTCACCTGATGGTTAGTGACTACCACCGTCCATGGACACCTGCAACACAAGAGTCACAAGAGCGTTGCCGCCCTTTGGGTCACCTCCCTCCGGTTTTTTAATATTTTTAAAACAACGCCCGAACTAGGAATGTTTACTGTGTCGCGAGGGACGTTACAAACATACATTAAACGGACACAAAGAACACCCAGGCTCAGAATAATTTGTGATCACACAACACTCAGCGTAGTAGGAAGCGGCGACCGCTTAAACCACCACGCCATCCGTGCACGACTTGGGCTCCGGTAACCTCACTCAGTTGATGAAAAGCAATGACAGAAAAGCTTTACACCGGTTTTCTGTAACGCCGTGGCCGTTGGTATCACTCCGGTCGAACCGGCCCCATTTGTGCCGAAGCACGGCTCTCCCACGGAAAAACGGTAAATAGTGAAACGTATGTGTGTGTATTATCTTTACCTGCAATACCAACTATTTCTGCCACCACTATATCTTGCTCCTTCTCGTATGTGGATTTTGTAGATGTATATTCTTCTGTGATGTTGTCTAAAGCGCTATTTTTGAACCTAACACCGCCTTTCACCGCATCTATTATGGTATATTTCTTATTTCCACGCAAACTTTGTTCTTCCTTTAAAGTAACTCTATAACAACGAAACAATTAAGCTGAAGACTATTCTAAAGTGTGAATATTAGGTTTTAAAACAGCGGCCTTTACCAAATATATTTAGCTGTAAAGGTAAGGGGAATTTAACTGTACTTTCATATTTTTACTAAGCCTTGGTAGAAAATCTCACGAAAACATTAAATATTATAATAATCTGACACTAGAATAGGTTTACGTCTTGTGAACATTTTAGGCCAGATAAATGACCATTTAAGTAGTTGTTAATACAATCATTTATTTGTAAATATGTTTGATAAATAATTACATTCACCTAAAATAAAATCCGTTCTGAGGATTACTCTCCAACTTTATAGTTTTGCCAGCATCAAGACCTAAGTCTCTAGCGGCTTTATTGAGTTCCTTTTCCGCCGATGACTGCAGTTGTTCCAGTTCCTTACTCAAGTTCTGCAGCTGTTCATCAAAAGATGGCTTCACTAGAAAATCACCTAAGAACAAGATAGTATGTTTAAATGAATATATAATTGTAATATAGTTTAGTTTGAGATTGCACAGAATTAAAATTAAATCAGGCGCTGCTTCAGGGTTTTATAAAGTTAACATACATTTATGACAATTACTGCAAACCGTTGCTACAGGTAGAAACGCATACTCCTTTCGGGACATTACTATTACTATTAAATCGGAAATCTGTAAGATATTATTTGTCAATATTATAATATTGAAGATCTCTATTTAATTGCAAAAATATGATCCTGACCTCTATCAACGGCATCCATGTCCATTGTGGTTTCAATCATTTGGAGGAACTTGCCAAGGTCTTCATTAAGTTCAGATATGGGTTCAGTAAGAGACGAGTGAACAGTTGCGTTTTCTGCTTCCGCTAAACATTGCAATAGAGCCGGTAACCTCTTAATAGCCTGTAAATTGAAAATAAAATTGCGTTCACTAATATTTTATAAACACACATTGCACATTTTACACATTAATTAAAGCTTATGTAAAAGGTAATAATTATTTTCACCTTAATAAGCAAACTAGTTAAATCTACTTCTCATGACTGAAAATTCCATAAATTCTTTTTCAAAACTAAAATGCCATAAATGAAATGAAGTTAGCCATATTAGGTTTCTGACTCCTCTGAGTTTTATTAATCACATGGTTAGAAGATGCTACAAGGTATACCTCATTTTTTTCAAAAGTTTTAACATGGTTGTAATACCTGATAAATTCTGTAGCAGTCGTGCAAGTTAGCCTTCTTTCTGGTTAATCTTCTGGCCAAAGCTTGAAGGTCAGGGATCCGTCTTAAATGATCTTCGTGTAGTTGTAATCTCAGTTGTGAGTTATTCATTAGCAGCTCTACTACATCAAGGCGCTCGTTGATTAGATTTATATCACGTAAAGGCTGGCGTAGCCATTGAGCTAAGAGCCTGAAAGTAATACAATACCCAATAAATACTCGTACTTTCATCATCAAGTACGTTAAATTGATACATGATAGTACTGATACGAGGGCTGCTATTTATGTATCCGGAACTGGCCAGTTACAGAACCATATTAAAAACTAATTATAATATTTTTTAATGGAACTCTTTGGCTGAAGAAAACAACTTGTTTTATGTAGCTTTCATTTGTTTATCCTTTGTGGCGTTATTTTGAAAATGACGTGTTTTTATCACTATGGATTTAACTCGTGAAAATTTTCGTGCTATCATTTAAAAACAGTGTACCGATCAACTCACTTCGACATTTGGGGACGAAGCACCATCAAAAACTAACTGTGTATCACTGGTTTAGTCAGTTTAATCGAGGTCCGTCTGTGCTCACGGACGAATTTAAAGAAGATCGCCCTAAATCGGTAGTTGTACCTCAAAATATTGATGCTGTGCGGAAACTAATAATGCAAGATCGAAGATACATATCGCGAGATAGAGGCGTCTCTGGGAATAAATATGACGAGTATATATAAAATATTACACGAAGATTTAGCTGTAAAAATTGGTGTTCTGTAAAGTCGGTTTACAGACGATAATTTTACGTGATAACGTCAACATAACATTGATGAAAAATTGCATACTTTTTTGAATTGAATTGAATTATTTTCACTGAATTATCATTATTTTCTATAATACAAAGGAGTTAATTGAAACCTATATTTTTTTCGATAAATTAACACAACAACATTTATTTGCACTCGTTAATTAAAACATTTTTTCACTTTAATTTCATACACCAACCACATTAACTTTTCATTTCAATTTATAAACAGTTCACGCGTAGGTTGTATGCTGCCGCTGTCTCTTTTCTACTCCGATGGAGTGGAAGAGAGATAGATGCGTCACAAGCCGAACGCTTACGCCGATCGTGCCTCTCTATCAGTTGTTCCGCGATGTCGCTTGCACGCTCGGCTCAGGCGTAACGTGACAATGATTTATAAGACGTTATCACGTCAAAAATTTGTTCACGTTGGATTCCGCACAACTTGAGAATTTACCAAAAACAGGCTCGTGTCGAATGGTATAAAAAAATATTACCAAAGTACAATCAGGGTGCGTCAAAAGCTATCTATAATATGTACACAGGTGATGAAATCTCGGATATGATCCTGAAACTAAACAACAATCAACGGTTTGCGTGTTCCTAGTTCGGTGAGCTGAACCCAACAAAAATCAGTTATTCAAAAAGCACTTTGAAGCAAATGGTCGCTTGTTTTTTTGTTATAAATGGACATGCGGCTACAGTGCCACTAGAGGATCGTAAAACGGTTAATTCTTAAAGGTACACGACTATTTGTTTGCCAGAAGTCTTTGAAGAAATAGGAAAGAATAACCGACAACGCAGAATCCTTCTTCATCATGGCAATGCTAGTTGCCACACATCGGCCGATACAACTCAGTATTTGGAAGATCAAAAGATCGAGTTAACGGGTCATCCGCCGTATCCGCTCTGACTTGGACCCTAACGACTTCTATTTATACCCAACCGTGAAGAAGAAATTACGTGGTCAACGTTTATCTAGCCGTGGAGAGGCTGTTGATGCGTTTAAAATGCACGTTTTGGAGATCAAAATGGAATTTGGAGACCAGAATCAGAATGGAAAAAGTGCTACGAAAATTGATTGCAACGTATACAAAAGTGCTTCGATCACCACGGTGATTATTTTGAAAAGCAATAAAACTAAAATAAAGTCTAATGTTTGTTTCACTTTGTTGTAATGTGTGTGTAATGTGTTATGTAATTCATCATCATCATCATCAACAGCCTTTACTAGTCCACTGCTGAACACAGGCCTCTCCTAGAAAGGAGGTTTTGGCCTACTATACCACGCTGGACAGACGGGTTGGTATAGGGTTTGTTTCAAGTTCCGGTCAATGGCACTATACGGTGCACCGGTGTGGGCGGCGGCTCTGACCGCCCAGAATAGGGCACGCCTCTGGCGCCCTCAGAGGGTAATGGCGGTCAGAGCCATACGCGGTTACCGCACCGTGTCGACGGAGGTGGCGTGCGCGTTGGCCGGAACTCCCCCGTGGGATTTGGAGGCGGAAGTGCTCGCCGAAGTTTATCGGCGAGTGGCTGACTCCCGGGCGGAGAGCGGATTTCGCCCTCCGCCCGATGATGCTCCGCACGATGGCTCGTTGGTCGTTCCGGCTGGAGACTCCACGCGCTGGCTTCGCCGCCGTGGAGGCTCTCCAGCCGGTCATCGCCGAGTGGGCAGGGCGGCAGTACGGGACCCTTACCTTCCGGCTGACGCAGGTGCTTTCCGGTGCACTGTTGCTTTCGGAAAGTACCTGCACTCGGTCGCTAGGAGGGAACTGAGTCCCGCCTGCCACCACTGCGACTGCAGTGAGGACTCGGCCCAGCACACGCTGGCGGTCTGCCCCGCATGGGCGACGCAGCGTCGGGCCCTCACTGCTGTCATCGGAGTGGATCTCTCACTACCGGCCGTAGTACGCTCCATGGCCGGTAGCGACAGTTGTTTTACCGCGGTCGCAACCTTCTGCGAGGAAGTAATCTCGCAGAAGGAGGCGGCGGAGAAGGCCCGGGAGGACGACCTCCACTCGGACCCGATCCGCCGCCGAACCGGGCGGCGGAGGTGCGCCTATCACCGCCTCATGCCGCCCTGAGTGTGGCCGCGGGTGGACGGGGTGGGTTTCCCCTCCACCCGCATTAGTTTGGCCAGCCGCGAGCGGGCTGGCGCTAGGAGGGGTCCGGATGTCTTAATAACAGCTGTTCCCGGATCCCTCCTGTTACAGGCGCAGAGTGGCACACCGTGTGGTTTTAGTCGGTCCGAGTCCGACACACCACCCCGCCGCAAACTCCGGTGGGGTGACGGTCCGAGGGGATTTCCACACGTTAAAAAAAAAAAAGGGTTTGTTTCAAGTTTTCCTTCTCTTTACAGTGCTGTTGTCCTGCGTAGTTTACGTAATTAATATATATTAATTTACATTAAGTACCTAATACGCGAAAAAAACTCTCGAGCAAGCATTTAAACTAAGAAGTTTTATACTCAATGGTTATAAACACAAAGAAATTCTAACTTTTCAGCACAGCACTTATTCATCACAGCTTTTCTGGGCCAGAAAAGCTGTGATGAATGATGACTAAGTTCTAACCCTACAAATCTTGTGCATACGGCACTAACCGTCTTATTATAAAACGTGGACTTAAAAAAGTACCGGCTTTAGTACTAGGTTTAAACCATGACCTTGAATAAACGTTATTACAAAACGAAGTTTATCGCTAGTCCTAGAACTATCTATGGTATCAAAGTTAGACCATCGTGACCCCTAGTTTAACTATGGTACTAAATTGTCAAACGTCAAATTCTTAATTTTGAGGTTCGCTTTCGGAAAGGAATTTGTGATCAGAAACCAAAAAATGGATATTGATGCAATTGATATGTTTGATTTGGAAGATTTGAATGTGTTGGATATACTAGAAAGTTCCCGGGGACCGAACAGAGTTCGTCAGCGTCGAAATCCATTTGAATTACCTGATGAAGATTTTCGGTATAAATATAGATTTAGTAAACGTTTTCGCGAAAGGATTGTCGATTTATTACGTGAGGATTTATCCCACGATCCTCGAGGATGTCCGTTAAGCCCCGAAATGCAAGTAGCTTGCGCACTACGCAACTGGGCTCGCCATGAAGTAAGTTGGTACCTTGTAATGTAATTATGGCTAATGTGCGTCATCAATGATGTATTACTTTATAATTGTTTTTTTTTACAGATTCAAGACGATACTGGTGACTTACATGGCGTATCTCAGCCAGTTATGAGTAATAGATGATGTCAGTGCAGCCAGTTCAAAATTCACTAAGAGGGAATATTAGAAGGCAGTTTATTGAAACTCACTTTTCATAAAATAACATTTAATATATATAACTATATTTCTTTTTTGTGATATTCATATATGTATATGTTTAATACATGTATTATATGAATGCTAAAATAAAAGCTAATGATCCTTTTTTCATAAAGATAATTATTAATAAATCAAACATAAATTAAAAGTAACTTTTATCTTTAAGAAAATGCTAAAATCAGTCCTATAATACTAATGATTATTATGGGGAATATATAACCTGAAAATAATTATGTTATATTATTATGTGATTGTCAATATACGAGGGGTGATCAATAAGTAATGATAATCGAGTATTTCTAGAACGCACAAAAACCCAAATTATTTTTTTTCTGCTTGCTTATATATCCACTACTTCAGCTTCAAAAAAATGTATAAATAGGACACCATTACCGGGAGATACATTCATTTGAATACGAACTGTCGAAGAGAAAACATCAAAATGGAGAAAAATGAAATAAGAGCTGTCATCAAGTACCTCTGCCTGAAAAAAATGTCTACCAAAGACATACACAGCGACTTAGAGGAAACATTGGGGGAGTCTGCTCCTCCATATTCCACAGTCGCACGCTGGGCAAAGGAATTTAAGCTGGGCAGAACCTCCACTGAAGATGAACATCGCGAGGGACGCCCTTCCACGTCCCTTACTGGAGAAAACGTCAAAAAAGTGGAAGATATCGTGTTGGCCGATCGAAGGGTGACCGTAAGGCATGTAGCTGAGGTCACAGGGATCTCCTATGGCAGCGTTCAAAAAATCATTGTCAACAAAATGCATATGAAAAAGGTCTCTGCGCGTTGGGTACCGAGAATGTTAACCGACGAGCAAAAAAAGAAACGAGTCGACATTTCGAGGGTGAATCTTCAAAAGTTCCAGGCCGATAAAGAATTTTTTTTGTCGCGTTTTGTGACCATGGACGAGACCTGGATCCACCACTTTGATCCCGAAACCAAACAACAATCAATGACTTGGAAACGAGTTTCCTCACCAACGCCGAAGAAATTCAAAGTGTCAAGTTCAGCGGGCAAGGTTATGGCGTCTGTTTTCTGGGATGCAGAAGGAATTATTATGGTGGAATATTTGGAAAAGGGGGCCACTATAACAGGCTCTTACTACGCAGGCCAAATAAGAAGATTGCGAGAAGCTATTAAGTCAAAAAGACGCGGTAAACTGCGCGCTGGAGTGCTGTTTCACCAAGACAACGCCCCGGCTCACAAAGCCGCAGTTGCGATGGCTGCCATTGAAGAAACGGGATTCGAACTGCTCGAGCACCCTCCCTATTCGCCAGATCTAGCTCCCAGTTACTTCTACCTCTTTCCTCGGCTCAAAGAACACCCCCGGGGCAACAAATTTGAGGACAATAGTGAAGTGATGGCCGCAGTAGAGGCATTTTGGGAGGGTCAAGACAAATAATTTTTTTCTAAGGGAATCATGGGCTTAGAAAAAAGATACACTAAATGTATTAACTTGCAAGGAGACTATGTTGAAAAATAAAATACTTTTTTTAATCTAATAGTTCTGTTTCATATTGATTATCATTACTTATTGATCACCCCTCGTATTTGAAGTATTTTATTCAATAGGAGATAGATTACATTAGTTATTTATTTGAAACTCTTGACTCAACAATTTATACTTATTTTAATTATAAATTGTATTGATATCAGTCAAAAAGTGTAACTTACATTTTAATCTTTAGTAATGGTGTTAGTTTTTATCTGAGTCTCCAATAGTGCTATTTGTAATTGTAGCTTTTTAATTTTGATATTTCAACTTGATAGAAGTGCTGGGCTTCCAACATATCAAGCTCCTTTTTTTTTTTAAATTCTGTATTACTATTTATAATAGCTTGACACCCTTCTTCATTTCTGTAAAATAAATTCTATATTATTATGTAATAATTAGACTTATTATTTTGGTGTGGTAAGCTTTATTTATATTTTCGTGGTGCCTTGATTGAATTTGTTTGCACAGTTTCACTGATGTAGATCACTGAAAATAATAAATAATATTAATGAAACTAACCTGTATTTTTTCTTATTATGAAATTATTATACCTTGTTTTTCTTCAATACTGGACTCTACATTTTCATCACTTATAATCACTACAATTGGTTCTATTGAGCTATGGCCAGCATCAGGGTCTTCAAATATTGTTGTTGTTGTATTTGTCATCAGTAACAGGTAAATGTTTAGTAAATTGTCATCATATTATACTCTCCACTATTGTTAACTTTTACTTACCACTGCATCACTAAACACGTAAACATTTCGATTACATTACTCGAATTACGCGCGCCGTCCAGTTCACTCCGTTATACTCATACGTGCTAGCTCGGTAGTTGTTCCAAAACATAACATTAATAATTGGATTGTGAACATGCATTCAAAAAAATACAAGTCGGAATATTTAAATACCTTTAAATAACAAAACTTTAAATTTTACCCCTACAAATAACAATTCATAAAATATTTTTCTTTATATTTCGTAACAACATTTTGTTAAAAAGGAAAGGCGCGTAGAACGCTGAACGAATGAATGAATAATTTAAATATTTTGTTGCTTATAATCTGTGGAAAATATTTAGACCAGAGACGATCTTTGGTACTAAGTAGTCCTTTGTTGGTCTACGATTTGTAATACGAATGAAAGAACTAACGTTAGTACCGTAATAAGCTTAGACCTTTTAGTCCTGGTTTAAACCTGGTACTTATGGAAGTTTTTATAATAAGACGGTAAGAGTTTAAGTGGAATGTACATCACACAACTGGACGGTATCTGGTGCGGAAAGGCATTGTGCCTTACCGCACCAGATACTCATTACATTGGAGAATAAAGGTTTAGAAAACTATTTTATTTCAGGTCATGGCCCTCCTGCTGAGTAAACAGTAAGACTCTTAATGTAAATTGTTCACCTTTTGCCTTGTTGCGTTCGGCATCTATCAAGCAGCCCGTACAGACTTCGGGATGGAGCATTTGACATGTCGCCGAGCTCTGGAAAAACGTTTAGGGCCGACAGTGCAGCCGAGTCTAGGTGTAAGAAACAATCAGCCTGAATTGTCACCAAGCGAAACCTGTAAAACATTTTATTAATTAATACAATGGCTAACAATGTCCAAGTATAACAGTGTCTAATCAGGAGGATCGTGTATTTTTTCCATACTTTTTCTTAAATATGATTCAGTCAAAGGTATCCCAGTTCCTAACTATTGCTTTGATAGCAAAGTAATGTATACATTGAAAAAATAAGTTGATAAGAAAAGCTCCTATTTCTAATTTCTGCAGCTTCGCTTTCATTAAAATTCTTAAGTGAGCTAATAACTGAGTACCAAATTCAATAAGCCTTATGTAATAAGCTGCGTGTAGATAGTAAAATAAATATATATAATATAATAAAAGGGCATACCAACCTTGCAAAATTAGTACTATCATTTAATAAGGATGAATATTTAATAGCAGCTGCTAAACTACTCATTGCGACCTCTTTCCTAGTTTCGGGAAAGGCATTGGCATCCTGTTGCTGATTCTCTTTAAACTTTAGCAATCTGTTCAGATCCTGTATTAATCCTTCAGTAGAAAAATCGTTCTTTTTCAGTTTTGTCACTGTGACATTTGTGCGCTCCATTACCTTTTTAAGGGCTTTGTACTACAAAACAAAACGATATTATAGGAGGATATATTTTCAATACACAATGTGATTAATAAGTCTGGGTGTTCTTTGTTTATGTTTCATATTGTATGTTTGTAAAGTCCCGCGTGACACAGGATTTGTGCCTAGTGTGAGTTGTCTTTAAAAAAAGTTGAAGCGGATGTTTCTGCGAGTTTCTAGCATGTATTTTTTCATTTGCAACGTTTTTATCCGACTCAAGAAAATGAGGAGGTTCTCATTTGGTTGCTTTTTTTAATATTTATCACCTCAGATCTACTTTAGGAACCGATTTAGATGATCCTTTTACTAATTGGGAGGATATACTTCCCGTTTGGCCGCATTAAAATTTGAAGAAAATTTGATTATAAAAGTAATAAAGGTATGTTGTAAATTAATAAATGTTTAATATCAGTATTATTTTTGTTAGTATAGTTTTTGTTTAGTCTTCCTACATTACCTACATTTAATTTAGTGAAGCAGTGTCATATGATTATAAAACATAAATATCGGAATAGGTAAACTTACGTCATCTAAGTCACTGGTAGGTACTAGACATTCAGACGGAGCCATTTGTACTGTAATAGTTTCAAGCTCGGTGAGTAAATCATCGTCTGTAAACTCTGTTACCGACATCTGGTAGTCACCGGAAGAGATGCATGCAACGCCGAGGAGACGACCCTGAAATGAGCATATTCACCTTAAATAGTTATATAATTTGGCGAAGAAGAATGTTGTTTTTTTTTTAGGATTTTGCAATTTATTCTCATGGCAAGAAGACAAAATCAGTTTTTCACGTAATATATTGATTTATTACAATTTTTAATTTTGATAAATGTAGCCAAAAATTAATATGATTTAGAAAGAACGAATTAGGAGAACACTGGAACAGGCTCCATAAATTTCCGGACATGGAGCTTTTGAAGGTGGCTACGTTATCTAGAATAGACCACCAACATGTGTTCCAAACCATAGGCATCCTACTGTATTGTCGGATTACTACAGCGTGATAATCATAGTTCTTATTGCTATATTAGAATATTTACGTCTTAAATACAGATGGCCAATGTACAATATAGCATCCGTTTCAGAGGGTTATCGGATTGAATGTGATAAGACAGGCGTCTTCCGATAACGGGAAGTATTCTAAAGTGTAATGACCAGTTCACTTATTTTATTGCCCTCTCTGCACTTTTTAGAAGGTTCTAATAAGGCTTTTATGAAAGTGAATGAAATAGAGTTTACTTAAGATACCTTCGTGATTGCGTCTGTTTTTATGTGAACGGCCATCAAACACGGTGTGGTTTCATCAGAGGCTCCCAAGCCCTCACCAAGAATTTCTTCTAGTTGTGACAAATATCCTGGAGAGCCTTTGTACTTGAGCGACCAATCGGTTCCCTTGACTGAACCTTCAGGTACATATATCTCTACCCGGTAGCGCCTTACCTATAAATTAAATTAGGACATTTTTAAAAACGCCATTATTCGTTTTGCTTATAAGTGACTAACAATATAAACATATCTCAGAAATTTACTTTATATCTGTCTAGTTATCAGAATTAAAATTTGTATAATAAATGTGTAGTTCAAATGACAATATTGTGGCATCCGGAAGCTAATCTGGTGATATAGTTACGTATTTATATTATTAAAGTGTGTTTTTGTAATTCTTAAAGTTTATTACGTAAAATGTTTTATTCATGGCAATGTGTCTTATATACCTATAAAATAAACATTTATACATTAATATATAGGTTGAACAATGTTTATATCAGAATGCCCAGAAGGCCAATTCTCGTAATTGAAAAAGCTCGGTCTCAATTCAGTCCCGATCAACTTTCGATCTCACAACCGTCATAAAAGGTGTTTTCGTAGCAAAATAGTAAAGTATTACTAAGACTAGAAGATTACCTACTAAATTTTCGGTTACAATACCATAAAATCACTTTACAGTCAACGTTGGATGTTTAATACTTCTTTACGACGACTACGAGAATTGGCCTTCTGATTTCTACATCTAGCAATAAAATGAAATCTTTCACATTATGTTATAGCTAACGGAATTATTTATGTATAACATACTGTCACTAATCGTATCGACTAGTATTTGCCATTTTGTTAGGTTGCAGCTCGATTAAATGTTCGTTCTTTTATAAGATTTCTTGTAATGTGGCTCTCACGTACTATGTCGAATCTTGATTAAAACAAAAATATGCCATATGTTTATATGACAACGGTGATAGTAGGGGGAAGCCTTCGATCAGCAGTGGACGGCGATAGGCTGATGACGATGTTGCCAGCGCCTTTGCTGGCAGGCGCTAGGAGGGGTCCGGAAGTCTTAATAACAGTAGTTCCCGGATCCCTCCTATTACAGGCGCAGAGTAGGACACGGTGTGATTTTGGTAGGTCCGATTTCGATACACCACCCGGCCGTAACCCCGGTGGGGTGACGGCCCGAGGGGGTGTATCGAAAAAAAAAGACAAATACGTTTAATTAAGAATTCGAATTTCGTGACTACATAAACCGTGTACCACAAACATCTTTCGAGGTTCTTTTAATATATTTTAATTACATCTAATCAATTTTACGTACTTATCTTGATTAGCATTATGCGCACAGTTTAAAAATAATTCTTCGAAGCTATTATGTAAAATATGTTCCATGTTTACGTATAAATAACAAGAACAAAATTATGATAAGCGGTTGTGAGATAGCCCTGATAAAGTTTAAGGTCAAGTGTCAACACGCGATTTGTTATTGTTTTAAGTATAGATTTAAGATAAAAAATTATAGTAAGTACATACTGGATTCATTCTTTAATCGTTTTTTTTAATAACCCACCAAAAGAAATGTCATATGAGATAATAAAAATTAAAAATGATCTACAATCAAACGTTGTTCAGGTAAATTAGGTAAAAAGGTTGGGGCGTATGGGGGTAGCACTTATGTATCTTTTTTATTTTTTCTGTGCGGAAATCCCCTCGGATACCACCCACCGGTGGTTATGTCGGACTACCAAAAACCGCACACCGTCTCGGATACCAGTTGCCGGGGAACCAGGTGTACCCTACGACTTACCTTGGCCCATCTACGGCATGTAACTGACCCCTCCTGTGTGGTAATCCCTATGTCCCCTTTGTGCTCCCGAAAGAGTGCGTGGGCTCTGCAGCGCGTCTCGCTACCACCCCGGCCTGCTCCTCCTAGGGTGACAGATGGTCTCACCTACCACCTCCAGGCCTGCGCTTGTGGAGAACGGAGGTCGTTCTGTGACCTCCAGGGCCTGAGTCGTCTGCGGTACCTAGCCCGTTACCGGGCCTGGCGGATCGGGAGGGTTCTAAACCTCTCCCGGACCCACTCCGCCATCTCCTTTGCAAGCATAACTTGCTTGCAGAAGGAGACGGCGGAGTTTAACGAACTCTCGCTCCGTACCATGGCGGCAATCATGTTACCGAGCGAGAGAATTCCTACTTCGATGGCCGCCACGAGGCAACGCCACTGCTCCACCCACGCCGGGCATCGCAGTGGTGGCACTCAGACGTTGGTTCCTTGCGGATCAGACACAGGTGATCTCCTAAGCATCTTTTCCCGGTGATCACCTGCGTCAACCGGTATGAAAGGGTTCTCTAGCCAATCCTCCATAACGGGTCTTACCGCCTCGATAACCGATGCCCAGCGCTCGGTTGCTCAAATCGTTCCTTCCACTCCTTCACGAGGACTTGGAGCAGTCCAACCAACTTGTGGAACAGACCTCGGAAATAGTGTTCGAAGTCCCATCAGCCATTAAGTACGAGCCCCAGATACCTCATTGGGGGCTCGATGCCGATGCGAGTGCCTCCTACTATAAGGCTGGATCCCCCGGGTGGCTTCCTCCGAGGCCCGTGAAAGACCAAGGCCTCGGATTTATGCAGAACCACCTCAAGACGAAGCCGCCGGATCCGCTCCACGATTTAAGCAACCCCGGCCGGGGCAAGACGAAGCACCCAGTCGTAGCCGCTGTTCCACAAGAGTGGCCCTAATACCGACCCCCGTGGGACACAGCACGACATGTCTCTGACAAATTTGCCCCGACTATGTGGCGGAGGTAGAGAGGCACTTGGTGATACACGAGCACTTCCCTGATGCAACTCCAGGGCAAAGTGTTGAACGCATTTCCGATGTCCAAGGACACCGCCAACATTACTTCGCCCCGAGAAACCGCTTCTCTCGCCAAAGCCTTCACGCGCATGATCGCATCCACGGCGGAGCGGCCCTAACGGAAACCGTACTAGTTGTCAGCCAGATCCGGCCCCACTGTGACGAGATGCTTGACCAGGCGCCTTGCAATCACTCTTTCGAAGAGTTTGCACACCTCAATCAACACTATGAGCCGGTAGGCGGATGGTGAGTCCGCCTGGCGCCCCTCCTTTCGGATGAGGACCAGTTTCCTCGTCTTTCACAATTACGGAAACTGGCCCCGCTGATGGGAACAGGGAGCTGACAACCCCTTCAAGCAGTTCTGGCTGAAGACACGAGGTCAGCAGCGGGGCCCATGGTCTTGCCCCTAACCATACGGTAGGCGCGTCCCCACGGATCCCGCTCCAGTGTCTCCAGCAACTTGCGGCGGGCCCCCTAAAACTGGATAATAGCTTACCAGTACTGAAGACCAGTAGGCCTTTTGTCATGCTTTCATTTCTTCTTCCATTTTCTTTTCTTAGTTTCTATTTAATTTACATATAATAACATTGCACACAACAAAATAATGCTGTAACACAATTTACTCTTATAAAGTACGAGTATAAGAGTATCAACCTATTGTTGAGACGTCTTTGTGTGTGATGAATGATCTACAATTTTTAATAACATACACATAAGAAACAGTGTGCGATTCCGGGTTAAATTTGATGAAATAAAGATATTGAATTTGAATTTATTTAACTCCTTAGTCATATTTAAGATTATAACGCTTTAAAGTTCCACATAATAGTTTTAAAATCTAATGATTGCAAAAAAATCTAAACCTAAACTTGCCTGGTAGCTCTTAAAGCGCGCCTATGGAAACTTGATTTATTCAATGTTTTATCTCGAAACAATGAAATTAAGGCGGGAATATGCACTTTATACACTTTTACTATTTAACGAATAATAGTCATCATCTATGAGTGCATTAATATTTGGGTGGGACCGGACGGATAAACCATCAATTCTTTGTCTGTCTTTTACAAGTTTAACGTTCACCGGCGCGTAGAGGCCCTTTTAGAGCTGTCGTATTATTATTTTTGCACAAAATACAAAAACATACGTAAAGTATTTGACAATCAATGTTGGTATGTGGGATACGGTGGTGACGGATTAAGAATACGGAATGTCGCCACCCCTATTCATACCCTTGGGTGTCGTAGGAGCCGACTATGGGAACAAACTACGCAGGACAACAACAATGCAAAGAGAAGGAAAATTTGACACAAACCCGATCCAACCCGTCTGGCCAGCGTGGTATACTAGGCGAAAACCCTTTTTCTAAGGAGATGCTTATTAAAGGCCCAGTGGACTATTAAACGCTGTCGATGATGTGCGACATGGATCTTCTATTTTTATGTAACTAATGCGTTCTAATACTTCGTTAATCTGCACTGGTGGATCTGCATAAATGAGCACAATACCAGCCCTGATTTCGACCCTGAATTTATGGATTTCTTAATTGTTACACTAAGCAAATGTAACTACTTATTTTCATTATAAATGCTGTCACAGCATGCATGGACGTAATTATTATTGTTATTGTTAAAAGCCTTAATAATTACAAGGTAGGTACTTACCAGTAATAACTTTTTGATAAGGATTTCAAAATTTCCTTTTGATAAAACAAGATAGTCGAGGCGATTGGGTTCAAGACCCATTTTCTTGATGTTCGAAATTGAGGAAAATACCTCCCTTGAAGCAGTTGTTGCGTCATCACCGTGGACACTGTAGTAGTCATTGCGGTCAAATATTCTCACCGTAGTCGGCGGTTTCTGAAAAGTTATATTACCCTTTAGCTTTTAATTAGAACAATGCAGATGATTTTGGCCTGGCCACACATGTCCTTACTACGACAGATACGCGAAATAATTTAAAGTGTCAAGAAGCAAACAATAAACACCAAACATAAGGTTTTACTATACGACTAAAGGAAATATTTTGTTTATATAAATAAGTAGTGACAGATAAGATAACGATTTTAACCAGAAATTTTATTTATGTATCGGAGTTCCTGCTACTACATCTACGCATTACATATTAAACATTGAATACATTCGGCATATCTACATAAAAAATATGTACAAGAAGTATAAACAAACAATTAGTAAAGATAAATCTGATATAAAAAGAACTTCATTATGTACAAAAATAAGAAATTCTACATTACAAAATTGTAACGAAGTCAATAATCAAGTATAGTCGACAATATTTATTAAGTATATCAATACTTTTCCTCGACGATATCTTTTTTTTTAATGAGAGCAATGTCATTTAAGTGTAAGATTAATTATCGTGGTGTCTATACACATATATATATATATATACACATATACACATATATATATATATACATATATCTTTCTTCCGAGGACTTCACATTATGCATGTGAGTTCTTGTAAATCCTTCGATACGTATGATCTTATGCTGATAAGAAAGGAAAGCATGCCTATGTGTTACCCGGTATAACTGCATTGCTAGACAGGAGTAACAAGTCATTTCTATATTAAAGATATAAAAAAAAACATTCGCAGTGTCTGAAGACCAAATCAGTTTTATGCCGTATTTGGTCAAGTATTTCAAAGAAGACTTGAACATACTGATTAGTGAATACTTTATACACTTCAAAGTGGACGGACCTGTTGATGTGGTTGCTAGCGATCCTCACTGCTAAGCATCGTGGGTTCGATTTCCATCCGGGATAAATATTGTGTGATAAGCACGATCATTTGTTCTATATCTGGGTGCAATTTATATATAATAATTCCAGCTGTACCCTGTTACGCTTCGCTGGGGCACGTTGAAATTGCATTGATGAGAAATGAGGTACAAAATTTGAAAAGTTTTTGAGTTTTTGAAGCCGATATACCGATATAGGTAATTAGAAATATATGATTGTACCCAGTTGAAAGTAATAGGGTTGATATTATAGATTGGAATTTAAGTCGGCAAAATGTGGGGGTTTAACACGCCTCTGTCTAATATAGGATATAAGGGTCTGTAATTGGGGTGGCGGCCGGGCGCGCCGTGGAGCGCGCGTGCTCTTTAGGCAGTAGAATGGGAACACCGTTGTTCTCATCCACGAGAGTCATTTACAAGCCGTAGATGGCCCGAGGTCCATTGGGGTACCAGGGATTTCCTTCACCAGGTTCCCCGGCTAATAGGGAATATGCACGTGACCCCAAAATGGACAAAATATTTTTATTTGTAATTTTTATTGCTAAAAAATGATACCCATACAATTAGTTTTTAAATTTATTATAATTTAATAGTGAAATTTAATAATCAAAAATTGGCTTTTTTAAGATTCCCTCTCAAATTTCTAAAACGCAACGCTATTGGTTGAATAAAACGTGACGTCAACCTACACTGTCAAGAGTGTCAACAAGTTGTGTGTATTTGTAATATTTGGTTTCTGGTGATTATTTATTTCATTTTAAGTTAATAACTAACACGTTTTCAGTGTTAAATTATTAAATTCCCGTGTAAAAAGACTCAACACAATGACTGAATATACTTTGTCAGGTGCAGTTTTGATATTATTTGGGCACAAAGGAACGGCACAATATTTATAATAAGTTTTTATGGGCTTTTCCATGGTAATAAGGTAATTTTTATCACTCACTTTTTTAACTTTCATAAACTTTGTGAACTTCACTCCGTTGTTGACATCGAATTCGTCTGAAAGTGTAATCTGACGTCACAAAAAAAGCGCGCCAAAATGGACGTGTTCAAATTGCCCCAAAATGATAGTGATTTTAATAAAAAATTTTTTGCTTAACGGTTTATATTTCGGATGTGTTATATTTATTTTTGGTAATGTAATAACTAGTAGAATCGTTTAAAAAAATTAAAAAAATACATGCATATTCCCTATTGTAGTCGAGACGACGTCCGGTTTTTGGTCGGTTCAAGTCCGACATAACGACCATGGTGGTATCAGAGGGGATTTCCGCTAAAAAAGGGTATGGATGTTTTTTATTTTTAGTAAGGCAATTTTGAACATTGGCGTTTTCGATTAGCGGAATATTAATGGTAAAAATACCATACCAAATATAGAAGAAAAGGGCGTGTGGCATAGATATTTCAAGCGGAGTCGCACCAAGTATGGAACTACAGTTCCTCAAGCCAGCCATTATATTACCTGCAGAATTAACAGTTTTAAAACATTACAATCATTTTTAACCAACTTCAAAAAAGGAGAAGGATATATATATGTACTTACTAAATAATTGTATGTATAAGCCATCATCTAATATCTCAATTGGAAGCCGTATTTCTAAATATTTAAAAGATATTCTTTGGTGTCAATGTCGTTAGTTATTTTTTCTTACCTTCGGTGGAGCATGTGTTTTATAAAAGTATAAGGCCTCAGATGTTTGATGCGCATTCATAAATGATTTCTCAAATTTTCAATAAATATTATGTTCGAATTTGAAACACAGGCCAAAACCAATATTTGATAAAAGAAAATACATCTAAATGAATTAAATAAATAATTATTCAATTAAACAAACGAATTTCGGTTTACGAAAAAATATGGTTGAATACATGTAAATAAGCATTGTATACCTGCTCTTCAATAATTTACAATAGGCACAGTCTAACAATACTACAATAAGATTTTGGGCAGAGCACTATATGTCATTAACTGGTGAGACGTGAACAGCGATACTAAGTTCATAAGCGGCAAGGGCGTGTTTTCTGTGTGGTTGATATATTTAATTGGATCACGGACATATTAAGTTCGCAGTTCATTCCTCATATTTTTACCGAGTTGAAGTAAGTCAGTGTTATTCCTTTTAGTATTTTTGCAGAATTGGAAAAAGATTCGAAGAACATCACAATCACAAAAAATTAAGATGCTCAACTGGCGCGTGTTTTCTTGATACTGAGAATGTTGCTAATAATTACTCTAAAAAAAATGTTAACTTCTTAATAAGTTATTTGGCTGAATTTGGTAAATGAAAATTTTGGATTGGTTTGGTTTACAGGGACGGGATTTTTTTATTGGGCTTTAATGGGCGCAAGTCTGATTGTACGCTAAGTTTCAGTGTTTTAGCTAAAGTCCAGCCTTGCTTACAGTCTACTAGACTAGTTCTAAGCGCAGCACACAAATTAGAAAAAGGCTCGCGTCTAGGTATTCTTATTGAGCCGTGCACAGTGAGCGGGTTAATGACATCCCTAATACCTATCACCGCGAAATCTGTCGACCGACGGTAATCACTCTAGTGGTTAGACACAGATATAATCTAACGATGATAATGGCAAAACGAACTCAAATTTTTAGGGTTAATATTTACTAACGCCAAGCTCGTTTATATCAAACTTAGTAGTATTGAAGCATGATAAATATTCATATATTAATCATATTCTTTTGTTGTGACAATTATTAGTTACTTCACGCTTCTTATTAAAGTAAGCTATTTGTTTTCAATGAAAAACTTTTACTGGAATTTAGTTATATAGAGAGGATTCATATCATTTTTCTTTTAGCACCGTTGATACCGGTAGCATCAAAATTTATCCAGAACACAGCGCAAGCAAGCGCAAAGGACTTGTTGAGGTAGCAATAGTAAACAACTTACTACCTCATGTTAAGAATGAAATCATTATGTCACTGAATCATTCAAACAATCTTGACAGTCACCAATATAAATAAATATGTGATCATTTGACCACTCAAGGTTTTTTGACCCAAGTATACGGTTCTAAGTATATTTTGCACGCCCGAGTTCTGAGAATAAAATATCACTCATAGCCGGTCATGAGGTTATCTCTCAGCAGATAGAAAATTAAAGCTCAATAAATTGGCCCGTCCTGCTGAACCAATGTCAGTACGTGAAGCACGCAAGTCGTGAAGTGAAGTTAATTATATTTTTATTTTAAGTGGTATAAAATATAAACGGTAAGTAATAATTACTTAAATTGGCATGCAATAAAAATATAATTAATTAGAGCAGTGTACAAACTTTACAAGTGTAGCTGTCAGTGCCGGTTTATATAATACACGAGAACAGTATCATTAACGAGCAAATGAATTTTATAGTAAAAAGCTTAGGATGCTCGATATCGACAGTTATGAACTTAAAGCCATTGCATCGTTACGATTAGTTTAACAATAAGACACAAAGCACCTTGAGCTTTTTTTCCAAGAACATTTATTTTCTCGTTATTTATACTATTCTCGTTTCTAAAAAAAATATTGATTACTTTTTAGTCAAATTTATCATTTAAGTTTGTTTTAAAACTAATATTGATTTTTTCTCTATACCTCGCAAAGCCAAGAGTAATCTGCGCGCCTACTGCCTTTTATAGATGTTCATCGTTCATCGATTCATTAATCCTGACGATACTGTTCAGAATAATCGAGCAAGATTATTAAATTCCTGTATTGTCATCGGTACTGGATAGTCACGCAAAATTTCAATATGACCTGCTGTTCTAAAATGAGTCAGACATCTTGATCAAAGCGTGTTTAAATTTTATCTCATATATCAGATTCACTCAGGATTAAAGGAGAAGGGAGGAAGATATCATTAACTTAACTCATGAACTCATTAGTTATCCCTCTCGTTTCAATATAAAAAATATAATAGTATTCATGGTGTTTACAATCATAGTTGCAACACTAACGTATAGCTCAGGGAAGCATATTTGAAGGTTTGATATTATTGATATACATTTATACATGACATATCATAAAACAATGTTTTACAGAAGTAAAAAAATCCACAAACTTTAAGTATTTATGAGAAACATAGTCATCAGTATAAAAACTTTTTATTTATACAGATCTCTAGAAAACATTTTATTATCACAACTAAATGCGAATAGATGGAACTTGCGATAATTTGACAGGAACACTTGTTTTATCTAATTCGTGGATTGCATCATTTCTCCTCACACTCCTCACGGCCCTAAAGATCTTTTTGATTTACATCTTCATAAGGTACAATTAATAAATTGCTTTTTGAGAAATTTCTAACTTTAAATGCATTGAAGTGAAGTAAACCTAGACAAAAAACGTTTTAAATATTTTTGAACTCTGTAAGTATATATGTCTATCTAGCTATATATTACGAAATCTACACGTATTTTTAATTAACTTAAACGCGTCCGCAATTAATAGAATAATTGTACACGTACAGACTATATGAAAACGAAACTAAAAAAAATTATATCAAAATATTAAAAAACACATAGCATACATAGTATAACAAACCGAAGTAAAAAATTTACTTGCGAATGTCAAATTATGCAGCAGTTTTTTTCTAATTACTTGCCTCAGAAGCTTACCTTTTTTTTCATAAAAGCACATCTCCCGCACTAGGAATAAATCCTGTGTCGCGGGGGACAAGAACACCCAGACGCAGAACGACATTTTGTGGATCACACAGTGTTGTCTCATGTGGGGATCGAACCCATGACCGCTTAAAATACCACGCCATTCGTGTAGTCCGTGCGTTAAGTTTCCGTGAAAAATAACAAAATTAATTACAAAACCTTTTTTTAAATCTAGTGAAGCATTTTATTCTTTAAGTAGCTCGTTCGACTACCGCCCTACGGGTCATAGCGCAATGTTAATTCAAGTTCGAAATTAATGACGTAAAATAAATATCGAATTTCGGTAACTATAGTACCAATTAATAAAGTTGACGCAAGAGCCTCCAAAGAAAACCTACAAGATATATATTTTTAAGCACTATACTACAGGATGCATGTTAGCGAAAAAACTGATATTAATATGTAATACTTTATAGTAGTTACTATAATCTAAGGTGTCAATGTTTGTCACGCATATTTTAGTGTTTTATGAACCGTATTTTTAGTAAGCTAAATCTCGATCTGTTCCAAGAAATAAAATTTTATAATCTATTTTCAATCACTTTCTCTTATAGATTCACATCATCACCAACAGTCTTTACTAGTCCATTGCTGGACATAGGCCTCTCCGTAGAAAGGAGGTTTTGGCTTACTATACCACGCTGGCCAGACGGGGTGGTCTAGGGTTTGTGTCAAGTTTTCCTTCTCTTTGCAACGCTGTTGTCCTGCGTAGTTTGCTCCTTAGTCGGCTCTTACGACACCCACGGGATGAATAGGGATGGTGACACTTCGTATTCTTAATCATCACACGGATGTGTGATCTTATAGATTACTAAAATGTAATTGTTGTTACATTTATTTCAGAATTATTGACAGCGAAAATATGAAGTGGCTAATCATACTAGCCGCGATATCGGCATTGGTGGGGGCGAGACCAGAGAAATACAAAGAACAAGAAGATTTTCAGTATTCAAGAAGTTCATCGGATGATGGCACTAAATCAGGATATTATGACGCACAGAGAGGTAATATGGGCGGCAATTATGAACGTGCTCATAACATGGATTCACTTGCTCAACATCAAATGAGTGGTCTTGTGAGACAAGTCGAAGGAGAATTAGGTGACGGTGCCAAGATGAGGACTGGAAGTGTCTATAGTGCCGCTAGCTCAAGAGGTATGTACGGGTCGGGGCATTTTGATACAAGCAATCTTCAGGGCCGCAACTTCCAAGAGGGTGTCTCCTATGATAACTCAAATTTAGGGTCATCTCACACTGCGCATTCATCATCAGCGCATAATAGTGCCAACTATGCGAGTCGTCATTCTCAAAGTTATGGTGGATATGGAAGAACAACGAGCGATACTCAATCACAGGCTGAAGATCTTGTGTCAGTGGATGATTTACAGACAAGTAAACAACAGAATTACGGCAGTACAAGACATAGTTCAGGTTATCAATCTCAAGCAGGTCTTCAAGAGCAAAGACATTACGACAGTGATAGCACCAATTCTCACACTGGTTATGGATCAAATATCTATACAAGATATACACCTGTGAGAATTGTTGTAACACCAGGTGGGAGGATAGCGCTACCAGTAACCGTACAAACTTATGACGCTACACATGGATCCTCCATACTGAATCATAATGCATTGGACAGCGAAGTCGCAGCAAGTGACATGAACCAAGGTTCTGTTTACAGACCTGGTAATACAAAATATTACGAAGCATCTTATAAATACAACAAAAAATGGGAAAAACATGATACTGTTCCTACATCCGTTTCTGTAGTTGCTCCCACCGAAACCCCTGTCTCTAAACACAGTGAGTTATATGAAGATGTTGATATTCATCCATCGGGTAACCAAAACAATGCAAGAGAAACTGATTTTAGAAGCGCACACTTAAGTAGTGCATCTGGAAGATACAATGCAGCTAAAACAACATCCAGACAATCTGGATATAATACGAATTATAACTCGCAACGGTATAACGGAGGGTCATCAAACTCAAATGCATACACTCACGCCGGACATAGAGCACAAGTAGGTCACAGCTCATCTTCAGATTCTTTAAATGCTCAACCTAATATTGGATCAATATACAGCGGCATTTCAACTGATTCTGCCTTAAATAAGCAAGCAAGATATAACGCAGGGTCTCAGCTAGATATGAATAGTCAGGTTGAGGATTTAAGTGCAAGGCCTAAAAGTTACCATTCTTCATATTCATACCATAAATCATGGGAGCGCCAAGGTGATCCATATGTAATTGAGCCTGTGTCTACTACAAATTCCAACAGTCATACATCACAAAGATTAACGTCATCAACCAAAAATCTTGGATTTACTACTTACCAACCCAGTTCTCAATACAGTCAAAGGAATTGTGAAGATAATTGCCACATGCGCGTTACTCGTTCTCAAGGTACAGATAACCAACATATGGAACAACAGAGTCAAAGCTTGTATGACGATCAAGATTTGGGCCAACAAGTCCAAGGAACTTGGAAAAATTTTGAAGACTTAGGCCAGTTATCACAAAAAGATTGGGGTCAGCAAACAGATGGACAGCAGTCTCTAAGCCAATGGGATAATTTGAAAGATCTAAGTCAGCAATCACAAGGCAATCGGGATTTACAAAATGTCGAACAGCAATCACAAAATAATTGGGAGCAGCAAAATGTTGGTCAACAATCACAAAATAATTGGGGACAGCAGAATGTTGGCCAGCAATCTGAGAACCATTGGGAGAATTTGGGTCAACAAACGCAAAGTAATTGGGATCAGCAAAATGTTGAACAGCAAAAAACACAAGACCAGGCTAATAATTTAGAGAATTTAAATCAATCACAAAGCAATTGGGAGCAGTTAACTGCGGGACAGCAAACAGATAGTCACACTAGTGCTTTCGAGAATCTTGGTCAAATATCACAAAACAATTGGGATCAGCAAAATTTAGGACAACAAACTAATATCAATTGGGATAAGATAGAAACGTTGGATCAACAATCAAATAGTAACTGGGATCAGCAAAATGTTGTACAGCAACCTAACGACAGTTGGGACAAGTTAGAAAAGTTAAATCAACAATCACTAACGAAATCAGAAGAAGTAGGACAACATTTACTCAACCAACATACTTGGAACAAGTTTGAAGATATTAGATCGGCTAATCAAAAAAATGACAATTCTGATATTTTTGGGCAACATGCTCGAAGTAAGTGATAACCATAGATTATATTAACAGAAAGCAATCACTATTATGTAACAATTACTATAACATAATAACAGCTTGTTCACATATAAATATGGTAAATATGATTAGGTACTTTAGTTTTAAAATTCTGAAACATAATTTTACCATTCTGGGCAAGGGTGGGCGAGTAGCGTCTTCTTCTTTCAATTCAATGGGTCGAGTAGTGTCTGTATCTTAACTGCGAAGTCAACTATATTCAAGCAGTTTAATTAGTGCATTTTTTGAGCGCTGTTCTAACCATCCATAAAATACACGATTGATGGTAGATAATATGACTGTTCCTTGCCTGACTTACAGTACAATATAGGCAACACGTACAGTTACAGTACATATGAGCAAATTTAGTGTATGTCAAAAAAAATATTCATTTATTCACAAAGTTTAACGACATCCATAATATTAACACTAGAAATGAAGATAAACTCGTGTTGCCAACAACTAGACTACAAAAAGTACGCTAGTCTTTTCGATTAAGGGTGTGCGATTTTACAATAAATATTTCATAATTTACATTATTATTTTCATCCATACTATTAAAAATATGTGATGACAGCATGGTTGGATTGACTTATTTTAGAGGTTACTGATAGCGGTAGGCAGTGTTTATAGATATATTTTTAGGCGACGAAAGGGTTCGTTTACACCAGGGCTGCGCGCGCTAAAGGAAAACACCGCGCGACGCTTAACTTTTAAAATACTAATACAATATAGTACTCACTGAACTATGTACCTATTTGTTTAGTTAATAAGTTCTATTGTATATTGCTTCCTTATACGTGAACTGACCCTAACGGTACGTAACTTTACTGATTTTATGGGTATACTTTCGGCTTGAGATGACCCGGTTTTTGATAATAAAGTAATGTTAAAATAAAGGATTCGTAAGCTATGTGAACAGGTAGCAAGTAAAATATGATATGTATTGTAAACTACTAAAATACGTGCTCATCTTGTTTTATGTATAGCATGGTTAATTATCTTTCTTTTGTTGTTAATTTCTTATCGCTAACGCTGATATAATAATCTATAACACATGTAAATTAAAAGCTGGTGTTGTATTTAAATATTATATTGTAGCTATACGGTGTTGGTATAACGTCATAAACGAATATCATCCACAATGTAATTAATAACTACTAATAACATACTAAAATAACTTCATGTATAAGTGTAAAGAATGTACTAAAAAGACCAATGAAACGCCAAATAACGCATATTTCTTCATTTAGATGTTCTGGAACAGCAAAATCAAGATTTGGAATATGAGTTAAGCTATAAACCTCAACATGACCTTTATGCACAATTTGCTCACACATCAGAAGTTATACCAAAAGATACGAATTTGCAATATTCAGAATCAGAGAAAGAAAAGGAACTTGGGAAAAAAATTAATATCATATGGGACAAATTTAACAGTATGGATGTTGACAATGTTAAAGTAAACTTTAGCCACATACAAAATAACACAAAAAATAATACAGAAATTCAAATACATGAAAATGATGATGACTTTTTATCTCAAAACGAATCACATTTTTACAAAGATATCATTAATGATAATATTGACATCGCGCTTCATCAAAAAGAATCCAATGACAATTCAGATTACAGCTACAGTAACGGATTTGTGAACCCATTCTTTAATCAATATCATAAAAATCAACTTTCTCACTACGATAGTACGTTTTCAGAAAATAATGGTGCTTTTGAAACTAACAATTGGAACTCACATTTACATTCGTACAGTAATTCAGACTATGATTTGCAAAATGTTAATAATTCTCACATCAATATTCAAGATACTTCATTAACAAGTTTGTGGTCTAAATTCGAGAAAATTGATTCAGGTCTATCTTCAGAAATGAATCACACTAATACATTCTTAACAAAAATTGAAAAAGAAAGCAATTTAACGTCAATAGATGCAAACGGGAACAGTACGATAGTAAACCAACCATGGTACGTCCGAGATCCTCAAGAAACCGAAAGCAGCACTGCTTCAGAAAGACTGGAAAATAAAGGTTCACTTAGTGATAAAATCGACCCAAAAGATCTACAACCATTATACGACGACAAACCTGAGACACCCCAAGACATTGGCCGTGGTGACATCGAGCCGGAGGAAATTATAGATATCGATGAATCTAAGAAACGGTACAAAAATAAAAGTAGCGTTGTATCACAGAATACATTCGTCAGTCCTGTTGAACACGACAATGATGAAAAAAAAGTTGACCAAAATAATAACATATACAGAGAAAACGAGCTACTGGATGACAAACTAGCGGTGTTGAGCATACAACAACAAAAAAACGAAAACATACATGTTCATTTGAATAAAAGTGAGTTGACCAATAACATGCTACAAACAATTTCACAACAGAATAAAAATGTAAATCAAAAAGAATACAATACAGACCTACAAAACGTCAAGATCAACGAAACAGGTAATCTTAATTTCTTAAACCAAAACCACATGCTTACCCAAACCAACAATTTCGAAACAGAAACTAAAACTAAAAACATTTCAGTTCATCAAAATGTCATCAATCATGAAGTAGAATTGCAAAATAGTCCAAATTTTGAACAAGAAAGTGTAAACGTGGAGCAAGAGAACTTATACAACTTTGGGCAAGAAGATTTACAAGTTTTTGCACAGCAAACTGAAAATGTAGAAAACCAATACTTACATAACTTTCAAGAAACTTTACCAGACTTTAAACAAGGTAATGAGAACTCAGAACAACAGAATTCATATAACTTTGGTCAAGAACAGCTACTGGAGGCTACAAGAAAAAATATAGAACATCAGAGTTTTCATAATTTTGGTCAAGAACAGACTACAAAAAAATATATAGAACAACATAATTCACATAATTTTGGTCGAGAACAAGGACTAGAGGCTACAGGAAAAAATATAGAACAACAGAATTCATATAACTTTGATCAAAACCTAACAATACTATACAATGCTACACAAAAAAATAAAAATACAGAGCAAGAAACTGTTGGATCAGAAAATAAGCTGATTTTCGAAAAAGAACAAAGAAACCACAGTCAACAAGATTTCGATCTGCATAAAGAAAATAATCATAACAATACTCAAAAACAAATCGAAAATCGTGAGCAACAAAACTTAAGAAGTAACGACACGATTGGCTTCAATAATGCTCAAACACAACATGTACAACTCGATAATCATCATTATGAACAGATAACACCAACAAATTTACCTCGTGTACAGAAAAGTGTTGGTAGCATAGAAGTTGAAAGTAGTCTGAACAAGAATCAAGAAGATTTACTGTATGTGCAACAAAACATACAAGATTTAGGAGGGCAAAGTGAACACATGCCTCTTGAGCAGATTGTTGAGCACAATTATGCTGTTGATTATGAACCAAATATTGCTAGCTTTGAACAAGAATTTGAACAGGATCTTGGACAACAACATCAAACTTCCAATGGCTTTTTTAATAAATTTGAACAGCAAAGCCAAAATTTAGCAGTCATACAACAGAACACACAACAGAGTATTATTAAAAGTAACCCAACCACTACCAGTACACAAAGGACAATCATTAGTGCACAAAAAACAGAAAAAGTAACTGAAAAACCCAGTTTCTGGAGGTCTGTAGGTAATAAAATTTCAAGTGCAAAAGATAAAGTAGTTACATGGTTCAGAAGTAAAAACTAATAAGTATGGAATATAAATAAAATAATATCTGTTGAGTATTTGTTAAATGACCTAGTCATTAAAATAAATTGTGTTTTAATAGGTATTTATGGACATGCATAAAATTAGTATGAGTTAGGTACATAAATATTTAATTATACTTATAAATCTTATACAAATCTCATTAAATGTGCAAATGTAATAAAATATAATCAAGCCTTTACTATATTAATCTATAAAAATCATCATAAGTAATGTCAATACTTACCTCTGGTAAAGAGTTGATGTATTTTACAAATGCTTGTTGTTGTACTGAATCTGTAATTTATAATGAAAAAGCAAATAGTGAATTATTTAAAAAAAGTAAATATTGTGTATTATTTTAAAACTGTGACTGTGTGTCTTAAACATTATTTTCTTGTCCATCTACATCTACATCTTGTCCTCAACATACTTACTTAACTTTGAGAACCTAAAAATTATTTTACCTACTATGACTCCTGTTCACTAGCATCTGATCACACTGATCATGAAAATAAAAAGTGGAGAGAGTTAAAGTGTTTCTGGTCCTACACACACTTCATCAGATATGAGCAATCAAGTAGAACTAAAGAGCAGTGCACCATGTACTGCTCTTTAATACAAAAATCTTCAATACAAAGATTTTTTCAAGCTAAAACCACTATGCCATCCGTGCAGTCATTTAAATATGTATATATAGTATATATATTTAAATATGTAAATATGTATATATGTACAATACAAAAAAGCACATTAAACTGTCACATTTTCAAAATAAATTTTCATTTTTGGTATGGAAAGTATGAGTCTGGGTGTGTGTAAATGTATTATTTACAAAATTTTATAAATTGAAATTATGTCATTAATACCAAAATTTACTAGGTGACCAGATAATAATGCATGTTTTTATCATTGAACAAGGATAGAACCAAGGCAGTTTCATTTGTTATAGGAATTTCTATTATCTTAGAGTCATGGTCATATCCAAGAGCTTTTTTCTCTATTCAAACAATCACTTAGTTTTCAAATACAACCATAGTTAACTCATATGAAAGAAGACTATTTTTAAGCAAAAAAACAAGCAAGTTAGCTAAAAACATATTTTAGCTAACTTGCCTTATTTTTTGGGTCAACACAATTTTATACAAGTTCTTTCCAACTGACTAAGATAAAATTTGAATACTTGTAGTCTCTTTTTAACCGTCTTCAAAAAAAGGAGGAGGTTCTCAATTCGACTGTTTTTTTTTTATGTTTGTTAAATAAATAACTAGCTGACCCGGCAAACATGATTGCCATATACATTATTTCTAGGAAATATTGAAAAAAAAATGTAGGGGTGGGTCACCCTTGTCATTTAGGGGTATGAATAATATGGGGTATAAAGATCATGCTATTAGATATGCTATATTATACATGCAAAAATTAACCACTTAAACCATAAAATTAAAAAGTTTATCTTCTTGAGAAAAGTACCTGCTTATTGAGATTATCTGGTATTTTCTTATATCACATGCGATACCGTTTGTTGTATAGTAAAAGTTCTATTTACTCTTATTTTGAATTAATTTAACAATACAAAGATTGACACAAAAAGAATACAATTAGATAAGTAATAGTAATTGTTGCAAGAAATATCTTTCCTTTTTTAATTTTATGGTTTAAGTGGTTAATTTTTCCATGTATAAATAGCATGATCTTTGTATAGTATGGACAAGAACAAAAACTTTACCAACTTAAAATAAATAATAAAAAACTGATTTTAATGTAGATACAGAAACAAATAAAGTTAACGCAGGTTTAAGGTTAAAAATCAATAAAAAATATTTTTTAATCGGACACTTGTCTATTTGCCATGGCATACAAAACAGTCCTACATTCCGACTCACCTAAACTCAAAGCGTGGATCGGTTGCAGCGAAGACATGTTTGAGTAGGTAATTTTATAACAACAGTATTTACAAATCCCACGCAGTTAAAAGGAATTTATTTGGAAAAATGTCGACAGAAGTTTGTTTCATTGAATTGATTGAACATCGCGGGAAAATTTTACTTAATACTTTGACTTATGACATTTTTGATAACGATGTTACCACACGAAAGGTAACATAGACATTGGACAAAACAGATGCGTTTAAAATATCTAGTAAGATATGAATTGAGCAAAAATTGCAATAATCATCAGCCTAAGTCCACTGGCAAAAATGCCAATGGTTGTTTTTTATTCTGATCATTTCATTTTTACTTTAGCAAATCTCAAAAATTTATTGATTAGTTCGTAGGTTGATTTTTTAATGTTTTTGTTATTGATCATCATCATCATCATCATCATATTTTCTCTTCCTCTTCTCTTGTTCCCTTCAACTCCCATACCTAAAACTTTCTTCGCCACATTTTCCTCATTAATTTGCATGAAATGTCCATACCAAGATGCCATATTACTTCTAAAATTTCATCCAGTGGCTCCACTTTCAGACTCCCTCATACGAGTATATACTCATTCCTAACCTTGTCCATCCGAGTCACACCACACATCCATCTCAACATTCGCATTTCGGCTACGTCAGGCGTCTCTCATCCGTTCTCTTAATGGGCCAACTTTCAGAACCATGCAGGAAGGCAGGTCTGATGATACTTTTAAAAATGTGTCAGTTCAGTGTTAACTGGAGTCACAAATTGTTACCTGTCACCATTTCATCCATCCCATATTAATTCGATGCTGTACAGTTCGATCAATCTCACCATCACATTGTAAATGGGAGTCGAGGTACTTGAAATTGAGCAGACTGTTATCGCTATCCCATCAAGCGAAAATTTTTCAGGCCTGGAGAGACTGCCGAAATAGTAGAAAATGTACTCAGTTTTGGTTCTGCTGATTTTCAAGACAACATTCTCAAGCCTTTGTTGCCAGTTTTCCAGTCTGCTCTGGACAGTGGCATCTGCAAATAGCATGCACCAAGGTGCCTCCTCCTGTTTGTCCGATGTCAGAGCACCTATTATCAACAGGCAGAAGTTTGGGCTCATAGCCGATCCCTGGTGTAAGCCTACAGAGACAATGAATTGATCAGTGTTTCCCGTGACCGACCTTACATAAGTGCTAGACTCTCTGTACTAGACTAGAGTTCTACCTACTTAACAGGCACTCATTCTTCTTTCAAAGGCAACCACAAAACCTCTCGGGGTACCCTATCATATGCCTTATCGAGGGCCACAAAGACCATTTGCAAGTTTTCGTGCGCACTCTTGTATTTCTTACATAGTTGACGCATTGCAAATATATCATCTGTTATCCCGCGTCCTGGCATAAACCTAAATTGACTTTGGTTTATCTCACTCTCATCTCTTATTCTTCTCTCAATCACTTTTTCCCAAACTTTCATAGCATGTGACATGAGCTTTATTCCTCGAACATTCATTTTATATACATTGCCTTCCTGAACCTACCTACTATTCGTTAATTTGGAATGAAATACCAATTGAAGACTAACTAGACTTTTTAACAAATACACTGATGTAAATAAATCCAATGGTTACTTAATAGCAGTAAAAAAAGATGTCGTCGCTGGGTAACTCTTTACTTTGATCACTTCGATGTTTATCGTACTAACGCAAACTGAAAAGGCGAAGAAGTGCCTGTATTTATACTATTCGTTAGATCGCTAGAAAGTTAATTCTAGTAAATTCTCCTCCTTATGAGAATCATTCTGTTTTAGAGAAACGCTTTTTTTGAAATCACAAAACTTGTGCAAAGGTACGTTTCGTAAAATTGAATCGATCTATTGCTGTTTATTCTCTAAAATATGTAAGTATACCTCTAGGGGCTTTAGGGTCTCGTGGTATCCTCGTGATACAATCTTAGCCAGGTCACGAGGGGAGCATTCTTAACACATTGAGACCTTGCCGTGCCTAGGAGAACACGTTAAGTCGTCGGTCCTGGTTGATACCAGCATCTGTGGCATATGTTATGGCTAGTTGGAGCCCCAAAAAGTGCGACAATAGCCTATGTACAGAACCTCAATATTGCTTAGTACTTGGATTATAGAGGTCTGATTGCAGTCTCTCCACTTAAAAACTGAAGTTCAGCCGTGTCGTAGTAGACTGAGAGCCGTACCCAATCTAGTTTAGGAAAAGGCTCGGAGGATGGTGTAAATATTTCTTTGATCTCATAATATGTTGATAACGTAGTCGATAAATAGAAGATATTGTTACTAGTTTACAGGTGTATTTAAATTTGAATTTTTAATCACACATCTTTAGAATTATATATTTAATGAGAATTTTTATCAGAATAATTCTTTTTATATTAATACATATTAATACCTGGGCCTTTGGTGTTGTGGGCTCCGATTTCCGCATTTAGACTGGAGGGTGGTCCTTTATGCGTCTAGGACATGTTGGCTAGGTAAGCCTACTAAGCTCCTTCCAGAAGCGCGGAAGCCTTCTTTTACGTTCACAGGCTTCTAGGAGCGATTTTGTACCAGGTATGGTACTTGCCCGTTGTGTAGCCACTAATGCTTGGCTAATGCTGGTGAAATTTGTTTCGTCAATGGCACCTTCGATATCGATAAAGGTGCCTAGTGTTGATCTTTTGTTTTTTAGATTGCCTTCTATTTGTAATACTACTCGATGTTAAGCTGATTCTGCAGATTTTCCCATCGAGTATGCGTGTTGGTTGTGGTCTAAGGGGTGACTGACTAAAGCAGTGGATAGCAATGCAAACCCAATAGAAAGGATGTGAGACTGGTAGGTTGGTGGGATTTTGGTTATGTGTCACCTTTGTTAGGTTTGGGGATGGAGACTACTTTGACTGCTCTCCATTTCAAGGGGATGTAATATTGTGCCAAGAAGCTTTTGAAAATGTTCACCAGGTGATCTAGAGTCGTCACGTCACACGATCTCAGCAGGCCTGGGAAGATTACATATTGCAGGGTATTTATTTTGGATTGTTACTTATGATAAAATGTTAATTCATAAAAAACGTCGTAACTACAGCAAGAAGTGACTCAAAAAGTCTTGTTACACATTTTTTAGTCTCGCTCCCATCCGCTCAGAGAATGTAACGAAAACGATTCCAAAAGCCTAGATTGCACACAAGCAATTATTGTTTGTTTTTAAATTTCTGAAATGTTTAGAAAGACTGACTGAACTTGTTTAGTTGACGTCAAATTTAAAATGTCAGGTTGCACTGTAGTTTAGGTAGCCTCTAAAAAATAAACGAATCGTTGTAGTCAGAAATTGTTTTAGTTATTAATTTAATTTGTTTGCGTAATATGTTGATATTTAAGTGTGGACTAATAATATTAACATCTACATATATTGTTTCGTGAGTATTTTTAAAAACTTATTTATATTTTAAATCAACATTAATATTTACTGTTTTTTTTCGTTAAATATAAGTGAAAAGAAAACTTGATAAATTGTTTTATCTATCCAATCATAAGTAACGTACGTACACATGTACTCTTTGATATATAATGTCCAAATTGTTTTATAACCAAATACTTTGTTTGTATTCTATTTTACTTTCACTTCGATTTAGAATGTATCCGTTGAAGGAATTAATTTATTTTTATAAGTGCTGAAAATATCTGTTTTCTTTACTTTTCAGTCTTTGTTTTCAAGTTTCGCAAGAGATAAGTTCTTTGGATACTGGCCTTGCTTTTTTGTATATAGCCAGCGGAGCAATAGGTGAGAGGCATTTGTGCCTATTATATAAATTTGGTGTGGAAACTCTATGATCTATGTGTAGTGCGATGAAATTATAGAAAACATTGTTATTGCTAGTTGCTCTAGAATACTCAAAATAGTAGTGTAGTATTCAGTTTCTTTTTTTAATTGAATAACTTAAGAAATCATTATGATACACCTCATATTTTTATAAGATAATTTTATTGGGTTTGTTCTTTTTAATGTACCACTACAATAATATTCTGGGGTCATTGTTTGTGTTTTTACCAAACTTTCCTAACAACAAACATAATAAGGCTCTCACTACTAAGATGTTAATAAATTTATTTAAAAATACATAGTAATCAATTCATCTATAAATTACTAGCATTGTAAGTATACATTTTTGATTTAAAAAAATACTAGTTGAATAATTTGCACATAAACAAAAGGAAATATTAAAATATATTTCTTTATTATTTGTGCATACATTTGTAGTCTATTCAAGGTGATAACTCATTACCAACCATTGGCTTGTGAATAGTAATGATTGCAATAAGAAAGTATAAATCATAACCATTAAAAAAAAAATTAATTGAGTGACAAGGCAAATGAATTCTCATTTATGTTGTCTATGTATGTCATACTCATTAGGCGTATATTACACTGTTTGAGTTGTTGGGATTGTCAAGCTAAAGGTGAGTTCTCTCTTTTGTTAATGTACTATTACACTATACTAACAGAAGGGAGAAGTCATTATTTATAACATACTTCAATTTAACAAGTTCAACCTTAGGCTGACAATATTTAGCTGCCACATCGGCTAAATATTATCATGCAAGTTCTGAATCATAATTTAGGGTACTAATGTGTCAGTGTGGTCCTTAATTACCATAACATATAACAAATGTGGTTGCTTTTGTGAAATCATTCAGAAATCAAGAAAAATGTCAATAATTTGTTTAACCTTGCATTTAGATTTTATACTTATGATTATATTTTAATTGTGGATATTATTTATATTTTTATCGTACTTATCTCTATTTGTGTTAAATAACAGAATCATCAAGTTTATCAATCACTTCATTTTCATATGTTTTCACATTGGATCATGGTATGACGTTCCTATGAAAGTATCTAGTATTACTATTACAAAAGTTACCCATAGGCAAAAGCATGGTACTGTTTATTTTTTTATATACATGTAAATGCTGTATACATTACTAAAATTGAACATTAAAGTAAATTTTTACGAGTGAACTAATCCAAAAAACAATTCCATTATTGCCATCTGTTTTGTGTTAACTAAACCCTTGAACCATATTTACGTTTTAACCAAAGTATATCGTAACCAATGTTTTTTAATGCTTTCGTTATACCATCCTTCAATGTTATTTTAACTAATATTTGCGTGCTAACAATATCTCTTTTTACAGCTGGCAAAATTATATATGACAGATATCAGCAAATACACATACTTGGTTCATTAACAATAAATCCAAATGTTACTTCTTTTGCAAATAGGATAGCTTCTTTTTCAGCCTCATTTTTCTCTATGGGCTTCCTGGTATACTTCCTCCTCTTCCTGTTAAAGGTAAGAGAGACAAATCCTATTATATGAGCTAGGACTCATTTTTAAACAAGTTTTAGCCCTCCAATTCTTGTTTTCTTTTTAATTGCTTATAATGTAAACATAAACTTTTGATAAACACCTTTAGAATAATGAGGCAGTATTTAAATTGCATCTGATGAAAAGGGGACCTTGTTAAAACAGGTTAGATAAAAAAGTCCCTTGAGCGGTTTATAACTAATCTTTTCTACAAAGTGAGATCTATATTGTCCTTGGATTAATTCACAACATGCAGTACATTTTTCGTAAGCATAGTATTCAATTTCCTAAGAATTATGAATATACAACTGTTACACATTATTAAAGTATTATTGTAACAGATCTAACGAAATATTTGTGCTTAGAAATCAGTTGAGGTGTTTGAACATTGGTCAATGGTTGTGCTAGTAAGTGGTTGTCGATGTCGTAATAACGCGATACCAACAGCCCACATTTCAGACGCAGAGTGGAGCATCCAGGTTTTTTTACTGTGATGATGTTATCTCTGTAACCACAACTGGTTATTTGTCTGAAACCTTCTTTTATATACTTGCCATAGATATTAGATGGTGTATTATTTACATTTTATGTAGCAATAACTAACGAACATACACAATGTTCATAATCATTTAACTATAACAAATAACTTCTTACCATTATGATATCAGAAATATTAAAGCTTGCATAACAATGTACATTAACTCATTCTCATTCAGGGGTTTCACAAGTAACTAATATAAGTTATGTAAAACTTACGAGCATGAAGTTTGAGTCGCCCTAACTGTTGCTTAAAACTTATGTAATTTTTCACAGGTTGATAGCAATTGCCTGACGGCATTAAATATTTTTGTATGTGGATTTGGCACTTTATACATATGGATGCAGGTGAGTTTTCAATTTTTCTCTGTATAAGTTTAATTTAGTTAAATGAACTAATTCAATGTTAGTATGCAGTTGTCAATAACGTAATACCCTGGCTTTTGAAGTTATGTCCAATGACCTGTGACAATGAGTGCCGCGAGTGCTCGACACTAGCGGCACTCATTGTCACAGGCAAAAGGCATCTGTAGTCATAAGAACTATGTTATAACTGTGATGTCATCACGTTATAATAATAACTAACAGTTTAGTTCTTTTGACAATTCACGACTGCTTTACTGATATACAAAAAGTGGTTGCTGTTATACAAAAATTTCTCATACCATAGGTACCTACTTTACACAACGGTTTGATTAATAGTATACCTTAATTATTCATAGTAATATATTATTTCTTGAATAATTTAATTATTTATATTATTTAATTAATTTGTCTGGCCGGTTGGTGTCACTACACCACTTGGTGGTTGATTGGTGTCTGTCAGTAATACCGACTGCTGGCTTACTAGAGGTCGTGGGTTCGCTTCCCACCAACGACAAATAATTGTGTGATGAGTACAATCTTGTAGGTATGTTTGGGTATCTTTATTAGCAGTCTTAGTGTAATTTCGTATTAGACTGTCGTGTTTGGTGTTAATATTATTACTGTATTCATTTGTTAATATACGCAAATTGCATTTTTTAAACAAATAAAAATAAATGTTATATATAAATAATACTTAATAGACTCAATTGCAGTGGGGGCAAAAATATTCTAAACATATGTATAGGTGACTCGACTCACCACTTTCACCACAGAACCACTTTGTGGTCACTGTCTGTTTTTAAAACCTCAGACTATCACCTAGAAAAATAGCTTGCTTGATCTTTATTAGCATGTGCATATTATACCGCAACCTGCCGACATTCTGGTAGACCTAGTTGTTGATACAATCGCCTAGAAAGAAATCATTTTCCTGATTTGGAAATCATCAATCATTTCCTGCTGTAGAGAATCTTTTAATGACTATTTTTATGAATAATACACACTCATGCCCAGTAATAAAAATGCCAAATTCAATAGTAAATAACTGTCTTCACTGCCATTTTTAGTTTAAATTTCCTTTGAAAAAGATTTTTTCCTTGAATTTTGATGAAATTCAAATATTGACTCGAATCTAACAAAAAATTTAAAAAGTAAGAAGTATGTTAACTAACTCATTACTTGTAGCGGATTTGCAAATTAATGTCATTTAGATAGAAGAGAGAGCTTAAGTACTACGTATAGTCTGAGCGGCAATTGCTTCATGCATAAAGTGAGTTGACGTAAATGTAAGAGTGACGTGTCACGCACGTATTCACAATTAGATATAATTGACATAAACTCAATTGATAATTTCCTCCCGTCTGAGACTGTACAACATAATTTATATTAAAGTAATAGAATATATTTCTGGCTGGCTCAAAACTTGCACTAACAAACTATCACTTAGTGTATCTATCTATTTATTTATTTTCTTATTCCTTACCTTTCCTATTCTCTACCATATTTACATACACATATAGAAACAACACACATACATACTTACCCTTACACAAAACTATCAAAACACATTACATCTCTCTGTAGTACTTAACCAAGATATTATTAAACAATTGTTTGTCTCGCTATTTAAGAAAACCTTATTGTATTGTACACTTTTTTTTTCCTAGATTTTAGATCCCCATTTTGTCCGAGTTGGAGGCCTGGAGACTTGTAACACAGGTTAAACCTGGTGCAGGCTCCAGTCTCCACAGCATACATTGATTAATGTTAGAAAAAATTGTACTCTGTATCTGTGAGAATGTTTGTGGGGAAAATAAACAATATATATATACAAATATATTATATATTTCACACATCTCACACACGGCCGTCTGATCCCAAACTAGGTAGAGCCTGTACTATGGTAACCAAACTGCTGATAAACATACTTATATAATTTTAAACAGATACATATTTTAGATAAACACCCAGACACAGAACAAATGACCATGCTCATCACACAATATTTGCCCTGGGTGGGAATTGAACCCACGACCTCCGGCTTAGCAGTCAGGGTCGCTAACCACTAGACCAACAGGCCTGTCAATATTACACACTAATTTTTTAGTGCGAGTAACATTTCATTCGATTCGGCAACTGATTTACTAGAAATACTTGTGTTTATTGCTGCAGGCAGTGAAAGAGCACAAATACTGTTATCTCATGTGATTATATATTTGCTCAGAATAGGTTCAAAAGGCTAGGGTCATTTGGTCCATGTGCTTGTAATATCCAAAGGGAGAATTCACTGACATTTCTATTGAAAAAAGTTCTGATCAAGTACACGCTGGATTAAGAATCAGTTCTATCTCGTCGTGAGAGCCGACTAAGGGAACCAACTACGCAGGACAACAGCACTGCAAAGGGAAGGAAACTTGAAGCAAACCCTATACCCACCCGGCCAGCTTGGTGTAGTAGGCCAAAACCTCTTTTTTAAGGAGAGGCCTATGTCTAGCAGTGGACTGTCAGAGGCTGTTGATGATGAGGATGTATCCTAACGTCAATGCTTCGTTAATGAGTTCACGACGACAGAATCTTACACCAAAAAAGGATTCGTGGACAAAGCTTATTTACGCATGTTGTGTAAATATTTTTCATGCACATCACATCAACAGCCTTTAACAGTCCATTGCTGGATCCTGCTGGTCCTTAGAAAGGAGGTTTTGGCCTACTATACCACGCTGGCTAGACGGTTTGGTATAGGGTTTGTGTCAAGTTTTCCTTCTCTCTGCAGTGCTGTTGTTCTGCGTAGTTTTTTTCCTTAGTCGGCTCTTACTACACCCACGGGATGAATAGGGGTGGTGACACTCTGTATTCTTAATCCGTTCTTTGTATTTTTCATTTAACCTTTCAAAACGTGTAATCTTTAGATGTAGTAGTGACAAACCATGCCTAAATAGAACTGTCCACGAATTGTCCACGGACATTGTATTAGCATGCTGTCATTTGAAATAATTTAGTAAAAAGCTTTTGAAAATGTATATTACTACTAAGGCAGGTAATGCGTTTGTTACTCCTGAGTTGCAGGCGTTCATGGCCGGCGGTTCAGGTATGGTTTGTCACTACTACATCTAAAAATTATACGTTTTAAAAAGTTAAATGAAAAATATTTACACCACATGCCTAAATAAGATTTGTCGACGAATCCTTTTTGATGTAAGATTTTGTCGTCGATTCACTCATTAATGATACGTTAGTGGAAAGGTTCTGTCGTTGATTCGGTCTTACGAGTAAAAACAACGTTTTGTCGGCGAATCGTTCGTATTTGAAAGGTTCTGCCGTTGAACAACTTATAAACGAAGCATTCTGTCGGTGAATCGTTCGTATTTGAAAGGTTCTGCCGTTGATTAACTCATAAACGAAAAATTCTGTCGGCGACTCATTCGGCAGAGAAATTTTTGTAGGAGTTTAATTTCAGAATCGTTTTTCCTCTCTAAATTTTTGATTAAATATTATAAAACCCTAACACTCTTATCACACGTAGCCTATTTTGTAGAGAAATTTTACGACGATAACTTTATCATTAAAGTTGTTTGTATAGACATTAATTTGTTTTGACATCATCAATAAACTCGCATTAAATGCAAATTGTCATGAAATAAATATTATCTATTTAATTATACTCTATGATGTTTGTGCAATGTCTTAACGTAATTCGTATATAATTTACACTTTTACTCAGTATATCTTGAGTATATTTTAAAATAAAAGTAATAATTATAAGACTATAATTAATAATTTTATTTTAATAATAATAGATATAAGTAATTAGAATTGCATCCAAATTTTCGTTTAGCAAGTCAATGATTTGAAATAATTAATGTAATAACAGTACACACTACATACCTAGCTTGTCTTAGTGTTCTTAGTTAAATATTTACAATTAGCCTTAATTGTTGCTTTTTTGGTTTTGTGTGGCTCTAAGTCTCAAAGAGCAACACCATTGTTACGCCATCTTTACGAGACTTAGCGCAACATAAATATTACATTTGGGAATTTTAGGGTAGTGCCCTGGAATTTATGCACCGTAACCGCCTAACTGAGGATTAGCAGAGCATTCTCCGCTCAACATCCCCGTAGTTTTTAGTTGCCTGATTGGTTTATTAGGCAACTAAAAGCTACGGGGAAGTTGAACGCAGTTAGTTGCCATAGCGCCTGTGTCAACGTTTGTTGTTTATTTTGATATTGTGGCAATAGAGTCGTCATCATCTATACATATTATAATTTATATACGTATATAAAAATGTTAAGTTGTTTTGTGTACGCTTCAGAAACTCATAAAGTTCTGCACCGATGGAGTTCAAACTTTGACACGATATACAGCAAGCTTCAAAGATGGTTTTTATCTATTTTTTGCTACCAACATGTGCCACAGCGAAGTAACTCGGGTAACTCGCCTGATTCTGTTTAATCACGGCGAAGGCCATTAAAATTTGGATAAGATAAGATACCACGCCGCGCTGGCCAGACGGGTTGGTATAGAGTTGGTCAAGTTTTTTTCTCTTTGCAGTAATGTTGTCCTACAGAGTTTGCTCCCTTAGTCGGCTCTTACGACACCCACGGGTTGAATAGAGATGGTGACAATCCGTATTCTTAATTCGTCACCACATGGACAGCATTTTCACAACAATTATAACAACATTTTATAGAAATACGTCCGTTAAATAATCACTACATCGGGCAATGCAATATTTTGTAACAGGTGTTAAATAGTCGACATTCGGCTATTGTACACATAAGCCCTTAGGCATATTTAAATTCCTCTCCTATAAGGGTATACAACTAAAACGTGAAAGAATATTTCTTAAAATATATCAAGATATATTTTAAGAAAAAAAAAAGTGAATAAATCAAGATTTATTTACTTTTTTTGTAGAAATATCATTATAAACCACTTTCTACTGCCGCATGTCGTACCGAAATATATTTTAATTAATTAAATTTGCAATCAGTTATCTAATCTCTACTTAGGTATTACAAACCGTTAGAAATATCTACTTGCATTATTTTGCAAGTTTGATTATACGATAGCTTTGAACCATCCCGCTTTTGTATATCATACATTCGTTTTACTGCTACGTTTATAACAGACATATACCTACTATAAATGTGTTTGGTTTCGGTTCAGTTTTCGAAATATTTTTATAGAAATACTAGCTTTTACTCGCGTTTTCATGCGCGTGGTGGTCGACTACAGACATCTTAATAATTTTACTGAGAGTTAAGAATCGATAAGTGAAAAAAAATTACTGTTGAAAACGCTACTACCAAAAATAACAAAGTAAAACCTTTCTTAGTGCACACCTGCGACATCTAAGGAACACTTGTGCAAATGATCATGCTTCTAGACAAAGCGGTTTCGGCTGTACGTTGATTGATCAGTCAGTTAATCAGTCTGTCAGTTTCTTTTTTTGTAGATATAGATTGTCGATTACAGTGCACGCCCTTTGTTTAAATGATTGTATCATCAATAACACATCACATCCATCCACATCCATCACAGCCTTTAATAGTCCACTGCTGGACATAGGCATCTCCTTACAAAGGAGGTTTTGGCCTACTATACCACGCTGGCCAAACGGGTTGGTATGGGGTTTGTTTCAAGTTTTTCTTCTCTATGCAGTGCTATTGTCTTGCATAGTTTGCTCCTTTAGTTGCCTCTTACGACACCCACGGGATGAATAGGGGTGGTGACACTCCGTATCCTTAATCACACCACAATAGCAATCTTATTTTCTCTAAACTCTATCTCTAACATACTACACGAAACGTCTTCGCCGTTTTTTAGACTAAGTGTTTTTTTTCCAGAATAAAGAACGGAAAAGTTTTGTTTTCTTTAACGATAAACTATTCTTGTTTCAGTGCATCATTACGACATATATCTCGACATTATATTATGATAAAAAATTAACAGTGTTTCGACAATGCCTTGCCAACGTGAGCTTCCTTATTTTGATTGTAATGGCAATATTTGGGACAGTCACGTCATTTTTACCTATCAGTAAGTATTGGAATCAAATCAATAAGAGTTCTAAAACTAATAGTAATAGGTGTAACGGTTTTTAACTTCAGAAGGAAAAATTTGAGTAGTCTGGCCTAAATATCTTAAAAATTATATTACTCTCTTTATTTTTAAAATTAATACGCTTGCAAAGTTTTATCTACTTAGGCATATTAAGCTTAGGCTTACAATATCTATTGTTATATCATGAAATTTATTGGCATTACAGAAATCTCGGTACACGAGACATCCTTTCTCTCGACTGTTTCACTTTCCATTTGTGTAGTTTTGTTCAAATATTGACTAGGACTGCACTAAGATGCAATATAACGTATATGAGATCTCGTGTTTTACGCTTCCTTGAGCGTTTGTATTAATTTAGCGAAATGAGTTTTGGAGTCATTGACCTTAAATGTAGTCATGACACATTGACAATTATTACGGCGTGCGAAACTGCGCTTAGTTCTAGCTGAGATCTGAGAAGATCTTACCGCTGCATCCAAAAACCTAATTAGTTAAAAAGAGTATGTAATCCAAGCTTAGGGTTACTTTTTTATTACATGCAAGTAAAATTGTTATTAGCATGACAATGATAGGTTTTATAGGAGGGAGGGGCATAAGATTTAAACTGGAATTTGAGCCGATTTTTGAATTCTATGTAAATATATTTGAATTATGTGTTGTAACTGGTACCAAGGTTATTTACCGAAATGTGGAAACGTTTATACATTTGTACAATGTTAATAATTACTGAACTTCTATTTTATGTAAAGAGTGTTATTTGAGAACATCCTAATATTTTAAGGTTACTGGAGAAATAGTTTAGTCAATTATTCAGGTCAATCCTGGAGATGCGTTCAAATTTTCTTCTTAAATTTAAATTTTTAAATACGTCAACCAATTTTTTTATTTTAGGGAATCCTAAAACACTCGAATATTGTAGTAATTGACATCCAAATATGAATTGAGTCGTAATTTATGAGCATTAACATTAATTTAAGAAGGAAGCAAGTTTCGTTCATGTTATAATTTTAGTCTTAATAAAACAACTTATGGTTATAGGCTACAGAAAATAAATCTGATCTATGCAAACATTTCTTAATAATTGTAGTGTGTTTACAGGTGGTTCGAGCGGGATCTACATCTGTTTTGTCATAACATCATTGTGTAGTAACTTATTAGCTGCAATATTTTGTGTATTTATATTGTCTTTTGAAAAAGAATATGAATATTTTGCCGAGGTAAATTGCTTTTAATGATATTGTATCGTTAAATAATGTTTCTGATGTTTCACATAATAATAAAACGTTAAATCTATTTCAGGGTTTGCGTTCAGAATTATTGCTCGATGATGATTGCTCTTTAAACAATGCAACACTGTCCGATGTGGATAGTATATTCGGGGCCCAAGAATCAATTTCAAGTACAATTGTCATAAAGGGTAACATTAGCTGCGGTAAGGTCTCCTGACCCGAGGCCGTGCCCGATAAGGGCACGGTACTTCCACAAACGGTTGCCGGAGCTCCTATCTCGCCTTCTTATGGAAGCTTCGGCAATACTAAAATAAAGGTTGTCAAAGAAACTAAAAATAAAAAAGAGCAAAATGACTTAGATTTAGTTGAAGACAATGACAGTGGGATGTCTTCTGAGGAAACCGACGATTCCTTGAAAGTTAATATAAGGTCTATCATTAATGATAATGTAAGTTCAAGTGTAGATGATAAGCAAGAAGTAATAACAAAGTGCCTAACTATTGAACCTCATTGTGCTGAGCACAGGAATGAGATTCCGAGTTGTTCTAAAGCTGTTAATGTAAGTGTTTTTATTGACAAAGCTGATGCCAGGTCTCACCTGAGAAATCCTGATAATCTGATTATAGATAATAGAGTTTCAGATTTTTTTGTGATAGATCTGACATGTGATGTCGCCGGTGTTCATGCATCATCTAAACCTAAAGGTGAAAGAAGCAAGAAAACGGTCGGTACAAAAGATTATAAAGTTGATCGTGATTATTCAAGTATAGCTAATGTAGAATCCAGTCAATGTTTAGTTCCTGTTGTGAACAACGAACTTGCAAACACCGAGAACCAAAAGTTGCTCAGCTTATCTCTCTCGATTCTTCTCGCTGCGTTGCTGCAAGCGATGCGCTGTTTTGCCCAGTTCTTAGAAGATATTGTAGTGCCGCAACGGTAATAGTTAATAATTGTTATTATGTTCCTTTATATTTTGGTGCAGTATTCACTTATTATATTACAAATGTCAATGATAGTATATTTAATTACATTGTACTAATCATGTGTTTCATTTAAGTATTTACGCTGGAATCCCTATTACTATGCTAACCTCCTGAGACCCGCAGTACTCAAACGATGACGTAAACTTTATATAAATACTAAACAAATGTATCTATATAGGCACAAATTTAAAATTAGAATGAAATTATGAAAATGAAAGGCTTGAAGTGGTTTCCGAACGCCTATCTGTCATGGCGACAGTGACTGTGTAGACAAGAGAAGCCATCATATCGCACTGTGAGTTTCGATCATTTTATCCGTTGACACCTTAACATTATTTACTTTATTTTATTCTTTTTTGTGTAAAACAGGTAGAGGTATTCACATATAGATATCGTTTTTTCAACGATAACGTCAATACCACCTTTTTGACATTAGTTCTCAATTCCATTTTCAATCACATTAGTCCTTATGCGATGACACCAGTTCTGTTTTTGTTTCACTTTTACTGAATCAATCTAACGGTGACGCATTCTCTGACGAAGAACATGAGAATTTATATATACTGACACATTTTGGTACTGAATCCAGTGCGGTGACGGAGAAAATGCTAGCGATATTGTTCCAAACCAGGCTGAAAATTCATCTTCGTGTGAAGAAGACGTTATAAGCTCGGTAACTCCTCGGCTTGCAACTATAGCAACTGTCTAGGGCAAGGAACAGTAATAGAATAATAACACTGGTACCTAAACATAAAAGAAAGAAGGTGTCTATCGTACCGTTACCATCAGACACTAGGAGGTCTCAAAAAGTTGATCATATGCCTATAAGATCTACTGTTCAGAACAGATGTCGCCTATCAAGCTGTAAACAGAAAAGCAGGACCAAGTGCTCAAAATGTAATATTTATTTGTTTGCAATACTTTGAATCAGGATTGCTACAAGTTAAGATTTTTTTGTTTTCACTTTAGAATTTATTTTTTGTATCTCGAAGCTAATCAAAGCAATAGATAAATTTCGTTGACTCATTGGTTGATAAGATACCAAGAGGTCTGATTTATGTGATAAAGTTATATAGATATAAGCTAAACTTGTTAAATGATTAAAACATATACGTATTTTAACTTTTTTTTTACATTATTCAAATCATCATACAAGGAAATGAACCTAGCGACCTCATATGAGCACATAATCTAAACTGTGGGTGAAGCGGGATGTTTTTTTTTTTTCACTTTTTTCAAAAATCCTTGTCTCATTATCTATCAGAAAAAATTGAAAAAAATCGGACATATCCGAAAAAAGTGGGTCTGGGTCTCAGAAGGATATATATCCATCAAGTGAAACGAGACGCATATGATATAGATAATATTTAAGAATTTAATAACGTAGAAGTACCAAGCCAAGTTATAAAAAACAACATAGGTATCACAAATATTAGGTCCTTACATATGAAATTAGCGTTTTGTCGTACTGACCACTTTGATCTGAAATATCTCCTCTTTGGTTAAGAATTCCAAAATTCAAATTTATAAATTAATTTAGCTGGTACATTTGAGTTTTGAAAACAGTCATTCATTTGTTTTCTCCTCATTATTTTTTTCTTTGGCGTCGCTTATTACCGCACAATGGAAAACATGAAATATCGGTATATTTCCGAGTACGAGTTCTACCGTGTCACCAGTGTTGCAGAAACAGCTCGAAGGATTAATGATTTTTACGGCGCTGGTGTCGCAAAAAAAGCACGGTACGTTTTTGTAGTCAACGTTTTGGTTCTGGAAATTTCGACCTTCAGAACCAACCCCGTGGACGGCCGGAGACCAAAGTGGAAAATGAAGAATTAAAGGCTATTGTGGAAGCGGATCTATCACAAGGCACTTCAGAGATAGCTGCAGGCTTCGGGGTAAGTGATGAAACTGTATTAATCCACTTAAAGCAAATCGGGAAAGTAAAAAAACTTGAACGATGGGTACCTCATGAATTGAGTGAATCGAACTTGCAAACACGCATCGACTGCTGTGTTACTTTGTTCAAAAGACATAATAATGAAGGGATTTTGAATTGAATCATTACTTGTGATGAAAAGTGGATACTGTACGATAATCGGAAGCGCTCGTCGCAATGCCTGAACCCTGGAGACCCACCCAAATCCTGCCCTAAACGAAAATTGACTCAAAAAAAGTTACTTGTGTACTGTGTGTAGTTACTCGTTCACTACAGCTTTCTAAAATCTGGCCTAACGATTACGTCAGATATCTATTGTCAGCAACTGCAAACCATGAAGGAAGAACTAGCTGCTAAACAACCGAGATTGGTCAATCGCTCTTTCCACTGCTGCTTCACGACAACGCAAGACCACACACTGCACAACAAACAAGCACTAAGTTAGATGAGCTACAATTGGAATGTGTACGATATTCACCGTACTCCCCGAACCTTGCTCCAACAAATTACAATTTTTTCCGGCATTTGGACAACTTCTTATTAGGAAAAAAAATTAACTGCGATGCGGCAGTCCAAACCGCCTTCAAAGAGTTTATTGATTCTCGCCCCTATGGTTTTTTTTAGTAAAGGGATCAATGAACTACCTACGAGATGGGAAAAGTGCATAGATAACAACGGTGAATACATAAATTCCATAAGCTTTAAGAAAAGACCTACTGGTTATAAAATAATAAGTAAACACAATATGCAGTAATAATTTAATAAATTACTTTGAACAATACACAAACACTACTATTCACACACATCAAATAAATTAATGAGGTTAAATAGGTCGTACACTTATTACTTTCTACTTATTGTCTGATTATAATTCCACTAGCAGTTTATAACGACGCTTCGTTGATCACTGTTATCAGCCTACTACTAGTATTATGGCACTTTTTCTTCCACTTGATGGAGTTTTTGCTATGTACTTCTGGTGAGGCGGGATGTTCAGCAATAGTGGAGGCTTGCGGCGAGGAGTTCGCCACTACGATGGACCAACGACGTCCTCGCCGCTCGTTCTGATTTGGTAGTTCCGCTATAAGGTTGTTCTCGTATTCGCTCAACATCAAATAGTTTTCCACCTGCAAACATGAAATTGGGTTTTTTTGTTGTAATAAACTTAAAGGGAGAATTAAGGTTACTTTATTTTCTACCATATCTGATGCAACAAGTACAGTGCCTACTTGTGGTACCAAAATAAAAGTATTAGGATTATATGGGTATAAAATACCTCTTAGTGTTAGGTAGGTAATTGTGATAGACACAATATTTAAGGCTTAGCCATTTCAAAAAGCAGATTATTATAATACAAATAAAAACTAAAAATATTGTACTTTAAACAATTAAATTATTTTTAAAAATACTCTCTTATCATTAATTATGAATAAATGTTGCATTTATAACTGCTTACTTTTTATGTGAAAGTGAACATAAGCTGAGTGAAAGTAAATCAACTTCTTTGTAATAGACAATTGTTAGAGCAGTCGATATTTAAGTCAAACAATATGTTTTTATTAGATGTGTTTGAAACTCAAATCAGTGATTCGCATAAACCCCAGTCCGTATCTTCCAATTGTAATTGCACTGACTGCACGGATGGAGTAGTGGTTTAAGCGGTCGCCACGCCGCTTTCTACTACGCTGAGTGTTGTGGGTCCGTTCCCCACATGGAACGACACTTTGTGTGATCCACAAATTGTTTATCTGAGTCTGGGTGTTCTTTGTGCCCGTTTCATGTTTGTTTGTAAATATCCCCACAACACAGGATATATTCCTAATGCGGTCTTTTAAAAAAAACAAAACAGTTACTAAATTACTTATAGTTATTAATTGTTCCATGTGGAGATCAACTTCACTGGCATACCAACCACATTTCTAAATTATCTGTGTTGTGATTATTGGCGCAGAGGATAATGAAACACGTCTTCGTTTGTTCTGTTCAACATTTAGATTTATTGTGGCACTACTTACTGAAGTATATTTCAAAAACCGTGGCACAGGATACATTCCTAATGAGGGAGTAGTCTTTAAAAAAAAATAGCTTATTTCGTTTATAAACCCTAAAATAGCCACCCAAAGGATACTGATGTATAATTCATGAAAGGTTGCATTTTTTTAATTGTTAATTACATTTATCGGTGATACATAGAAATATACAAATAGTTAAAGCTCATAAGCTAAAATATTTGTACGTGGTGGACATACTGAAAGTTTTTAGAATAGTCCAGTAAGAGAAGCAGCCAACGAATTTTTTTATTTAAATTTAGAATTATGAACTGGCAATATTTAGGTCGATCTTTAATGATACTATTAGTATTTCGGATAATATCCTTTGTTTTTACAAATAAGCGGCAATTTACAAAGTGTCTGTCGTGTATCGAAATGGTTTTGACTAGGGAAAATTTTGCTTAATGATTTATTACGACTCGCGGTCTTATTGAACAAAAATGTTATGATAGACTTTGATTGGCATTTCATTACGAAGTCCCATCTCGTGCCACTGCTTACAACTGGTTTAATGAGTATAAACGTGGTCGCAGCAAACTCATTGATGATTCTCGAGAAGGACGTCCTTTTATGGCGACTGCTAACTAACTACTGGTAACGTGAGTGCTGTGCTGTTAATGATAGAAGCTGATAGAAGGGTGACATACCTATCAACCGATTCGACCTTTAGGCATTGGTATAAGTTAAGTACAAAAAGACTTACATGACGGAACATTGACGGAAGATAAAAAACGTCGTTTGGATTGGTGCCGTGCCGCTCAATGGTTGAAAAGTATGACGTAGATGACTCGAATGCTGTATATGACATCGTCACAGGTGTGAAAGCTGGATACATTGTTACGAATCCGAAACCAAAAGACAATCTACGCAATGGATGTTTCCATTAAAAAAGATAATTGGCTCATAATTTGGACAGACGGGTCATTTCGTAGCAATCATTCTAGAAGATAAAAAGGACTGTTACTGCAGCAATCTGCAGACTGCAACAATCTCATATCTATTTGTTTAATTCTTATTACATAAAACTTTCAATAGTGTAAGGATTATAAAGCAAAATAATGCTACTGGAGCAAACACTTTGCTTGACGTTGCCTGGGGTAAATTGAACCAGTTATGTGGTGGAAAGGTATATGCAGTTCTACAAAATTAAGTAAAGTGGCATTGAGAATTCTGACGGCACCATGTACTTAAATCTGCAGCCGCAGAACGCACATTACAACGTAAATTATTGTGATTAAAATGGTAATTATTGTCACATACATAACGTAAAACGGAATCGTCTTGCTGCAGAAAGAGCTGCTAAAATAACGTTTATTGAATACTTAATTTTATATGTATAACTTCATTTTATAAGTGTTTCTTCATATACTCGTACATAAAACTGTTATGACACCTGTGTGCACTCCCCAATTATAGTTATTTTTACCCTACTCAAATTTTAAGTTGAAGTTTAACGTCAAAACGACAAGGTCAAGGTCTCCGTCTAGACGGCAAATGTTCCTGTCCAAGCAAAATGTCACAGTATCGATATACCTTATTACAACTAGTGATACAGTCACCCCCGCAATCCAGGTCCTCGAGGAGGTGTTCGGGTATGTCTAGATCCAGGTCGAGGTCCAGACCGCCTTCCTCGCTAATGCAGGTGAGCTCTGGCGGCACGTTGGGCGGGGGCGAACCGAGGCTGCCGGGCCGAATGCTGTCTAAAAGGAGGTCGCGGCCCATTCGACCGGGGGCTACTAATTCTGCTCCTAGAACTGATTTTGAAAATGGAATGGTATTAGTGCTAATTTTAACAGTTAGGTAGTACGCAACAACAAACACGTAACGCACTACATACTTAGTATTCTTCCATATTTGAAATACTTCCTCCGTATATGGTTGAATTTGGGAATTCACAATGTAGTTATTGTTTATTATTAAGTATTAGCTGTCAGTTAACAATGTAGGTACAATAATGTGTGTAATAGACTTGCAACGAATAGTATATTCGGCAGTATACCGAATACCGAATATTCGGCGAGGCCCCTGACCGAATAGCCGAATATTAGGCAAAAGTATTCGGCTGGATTTTAGCGCCAAAAACTTGTACAGACGTGAATTATGTACCTGCTTTATTTACCAATGACTACTTAATAAATGATTATAAAAGAAATGAGAACCTTACCCTTCTAAATTTTGATTACCACAATAATTCAAATACATAGAATCCTCCATTTTTCCAATTCAGAAGATGATTATGTACCTGTGTTATGCACCAATGACTACTTAAATGATTATAACAGAAATGAAAATATGAATATATACGTCGTAATCAATCGATTTTAATTTTTCATTTTACCAATTATTTCTCAATGACAAAATATATTATTTAAGTATTCGGTATTCGGCCGAATAATATGTAGATATTCGGTATTCGGCCGAATATAATAGAAGCAGCCGAATATGCCGAATACCGAATAGTAACCGAATATTCGTTGCAAGTCTAGTGTGTAATTTATTTTTTGTATGTGAGTATTTGTTAAAATATAAATACCTTTGTTTATCAGTAGTCTGGTTATCATAGTACAGGCGTTCCCTAGTTTGGAATCAGACGGCCGTGTATGAGGTTGTTATTATCGAATTGAAGTAGTCAAATTGCCTTAATACTCATTACTTACAGAAGATAATGAAATCTATTAAGTTTTTAGAGCTTCATTGAACGCAGTTCGGCAACCGATAAGTGCTACTGGTAATCTGGTGTTTCGAGTATTTAGGCATTATTAAACGCTTACTATCACGGTGCTCGTTTGCCAACTAGTTCTAAAAGTCGCGTGAACTTGTATCGAGAGGGATTGCTATATTTACTTAATATTAAATAATAATGACATTATCGCAGCAGTGTAAAAATGTTTAGAAACTTTTAATGATTAAAGAGCAGTAGCGCACTTGTGAGTCTTGGGCTGCAAGTCCTATGGGTGGCGGTCCCCGGTGGGGCCCCCACTCACAAAATATTGACAAGGTCACCATATTGCCTTGAGAGGGTTTGGTAGGTTAGGGTTATAGAAGAGTCCCTTGTGAAGTAGTGGTTACCTAGCGCGGTGGCGGCGCCAGCGGCGGCGCGCGGCTCGCGACTGCGGCGCGGCGGCTCGCACGTCGACTCGCACGCGACTGTTCCACCGTTTTCTCTGTCATTACACATTCTTTGTTAAACACTTTAATTGCAACATTCTCTCATCGCAATGCGAGCTATGTAATTGCTTATTACTTTATTATGAATTAAATATCGCTCATTCCCTATAATTACTTAGTAAGCATGTACAATATTACAGCATATTAAGTTATTTTCTCCTTCCAGTTTAGTGTTTAGAAAAAGGAAGATCTTAGGCATAAAAGAGTTTGTTTCCCATACAGTTATCACGAGATGTATGTACCTATATAGATCATTATCTTGCGTCGTAGTTTAATTTATGTTAGGTAATGATTGATATTTAACAAACCTCGCTTTGTTATGACCGTTATGCGTTAAGTAACAAAACGTACCGTAATTATGTCACAAAAATCTGCAATCATTAATAACGTATTTACTTTAATTCTATTAATCAATGAAAACATTTCGAATCGGATTCCTCATACTCCTCGCGTTATACACGAGTCATTTAGTTCACCGCGTTTTATAATTGAATGTGACTTACAGCCAAGAAATCGTAATTAATTCGTAAATATTTTTCGAGAAAAATAAGACAATTCGAAATAATGTAGATTCTTAAACCTTCTGTTGATAACTACTTATCAACAATTCACAAATCTGGATTAAATAAACTCACCGGTATCACATGAATTCCATGTAATTTAAGTAAAAGAAATTAGAGATTTTGAAAGCAATCATCATGTTGTAGGTATGTTTGTAAAAACGTGAAACTAAGGTCGTGGATATACCTAAGTAGGTATAGGTTATATATAGGTAAATGCATTGCCCAACGTTCCTTATCAAGCGTTTTAAATTTTGTTTTCTGAATTACTAACTAATTCAGTACTGCAAGAAATGCCACAATTCACGTACTTGGTGTGTTTATGCGCTACACTGCGCTTATGAAGATCTATACAGAAGAGGGACAGGGAGCCGATGAGCGAACACGTCGAGCTGAAGTAGTAGCCTGCTTTACCACCACAACCAACGTTTATGTAACCTAAAATTTTAGAATTTTTATAAAGGTTAGAAATATATAACTTACATGTTCTGCTTAGTGCGGGATGAGACTGCCGTATGTAAGATGTATGTAAAGCATTAGAATGTATTAGATATAACAAACAATAAGTTATTGTTATATCTAATACATTCTAATGCTTTAAAGTAGACACAAAATTTCGATAAATATACACGTTACCGTCATTATCTAAGGAAAAAATTCCAAGTACAGTACATCTCAACGCGGTTCCCTATATCTGGTAGAATCTTGTTGCTCCGAAATTTATTTCGCATAACACACTTGGCAGAATCATCTTTAAACGAATATTTTTAAGGCATAACAATTATTTAGTATAATTATTATTGTTTGGCCGAATGTTTATATCTCCGAATTTACAATGGCATACTTTTAAGATGGCATAATTTTATTTAGCAAAATTACATTCGACAGAGTTAAAAATCCTCATAATTTCTTTGAGCATAACGTTTATTTAGAGCGTCGAGTATTTGGTACGATTTCATTTGGAATAATTTTATTAGGTATATTGTCATAAAATAGAATTTTTAACCTTAAATTAAGAAGTCTTGCTACAAAAGTTTGTAACAGAAACAAATCGCTGCAAAACCGACTCCACGCAGTCTTGTTTTCCCTGCCCCTAGACTGTAATTTAAGCCCGCGTAGGCGCGGAGGGGTGAGGCAGCCCGCGAGTTGAGGAGGAAGTGGTGAACATTGAATTCATGACGATAAGCGTGGGACCGCCGGAGCCCTGCAGCGCCGGAGCAGAGACCGCATGCTTGCTTGCTACATGGCTTTATTATTATGGTAAGAAATACAAAATGATGGATAAATAGACTTTCAATTATTTTAGATATGAAACGTATTCCAAAAGATGATTCTCACTGTAAACTGCTGAGATATGATAGTTCTGCCTTTCAATGACTATCGATATACAATTTATGCTTAAAGATAATTCTGACTATGAACTTTCGACAATATCATGGTTCTACTTTTTAATTATTATGGATATGAAGTTTATGCCTAAAGGTGATTATGACTTACAAAATTATGTGTTTTGAATGTATTGTAATTTAATATATAGGTATGTAATTTCTGCGAAATGAAGTTTATGCTATCCGTTGTTATGCAAAATAATATTATGACAAAAAGTTCTGCTATAAAGGGAAGACCTATCTCAACGCTCAGTAAAATTACGAATCGTGGGTTTTCTTAGTTGTCTGTTAACAAAATTGTTAGGTGATTTCATAAGGTGGTACTTAATTAAAATAAACACTATGGATAATACATAAGATTTAAAATGAAGCCTACCTGACAATGGGACGCCTATTGCGATGGGTACAGCCTGTGAACACTGCACAAAGCCCCAAGTTCGTGCAAAGTTCCTCGACCGCACTCGTTCATATGTATACATCTTTAGCGAATAGTGGTACCCGCCGCAAAATATACCTGAAAAATTTTACGTGTCTGAAACTGTACAAGAATACGTTAAGACTTTATTAGTAGGGATAAGTGGAAATGAAATTCCACTCATCCTAACCAGAGACAGTGTGGTAGGGAAGAGTGGAAAAAAAGTCCACTTGTCCCAACAGGAGGGACAGCTGGTAGGGACTAGTGGAACAGCCCATTCCAATACAAGGTCTTTAAGCTGGTTATAGAGGATTTAGCTGGTATACCCCTCGCACCCACTTCCACGGCATACAACGCAATGACATAACCATTTTTAGTTCTTTCATTGGTTAAGTCAAAGTACTTGTTTCTCTTTAAAGCGTGGTCTTTAGGGATGTTCGTTGTTTCCCACGGCACCGTGAGTAAAGAAATATGTCTAGTCTGGACGCCAAGGCACAGATATCCTCAGGTATTTTGTAATGATTTTCATAAGTGTCCACTAATAATGTCCAGTCACAGGCGGTATTCATAATTGAGCACGGCTTTTTTTACGTTGCTTATTGGCTGTGGGTGTGCCTTGTCGATATGTTTTACGAAGTTATCGACTATTGCGTTCATAGATGGAGTACGACCTTTGTAATCTATCTTTCTTCCAAGAAATTTAAAGGACACGGTTTCTGATATTATTGAAACACTTTCCCCACCAATAGTAATTCCGGGGTCATACGAGGTATATCTGGTACCTCGCCGGCCCAGACTAAGGCAATAGCATTTGCTAGTTTTTGTCCTCATTTCCTCCGTCCAAGTACGGAAGTCACCACCTTACGCAATAGTTCTTGGCACTGCTTCGGGTTACGTGTGAGGATCGCGAGGTCGTCTGCGAATGCTAAGATGGATTCCTTATATTTTCCATTGACTTTAACCGGTAGACCGGTACCCCACCTCTTTTCGTGTGTTGCGATATTATCTATTAATATATTTATAACTGTATTAAATACTGATGGTGATAAGCAGCAACCTTGGAACAACCCTACTCTGTATTATAGTAGGTTTTGTATGTCCCTCTTTTTTTGTGATTACAAATTTTAAATTACTATAGTATGATGCAATTATTTCACAAACTCTGGGCGGAAAGTTATAGGTATACGAGTATATACAATATATACACGTAATACGCAATTAAAAGTTTCTTTAAGTAAGTAGTAAGTTTATATCATTTTATTCAGTCGGTACATTGTTAAATTTACCTTACTTTACTATATTATTAACCAGGTACAGGTTAGACATTGTCCGTGTGATGACGGATTAAGAATACAGAGTGTCACCACCCCTATTCATCCCGTGGGTGTCGTAAGAGCCGACTAAGGGAAAAAACTAACAGCACTGCAGAGAGAAGGAAAACTTGACACAAACCCTATACCAACCCGTCTGGCCAGCGTGGTATAGTAGGCCAAACCCTCCTTTCTAAGGAGAGGCTTATGTCCAGCAGTGGACTATTAAAGGCTGTTGATGATGATGAGGTTAGACATACCTCCTAGCTACCTGTACCTATCTTGTATCTCAGGATATAAACTAGTAGATGCTTAGTGTAAAATATAAGAAATAAATAAAAGGGATAAGGCTAGGCAAAGAGAGTCATATTGTGCAAGGGATCTTTCATGAAAACTTTCTAGTGCTGATCTACTGCTGCTGTGGGCATTATTGTATTGAGTATGCAAGTACATTTTAAACTGCAATTACTTCGTAGGTATGTAATAATTGGGATCCAAACCAGTTTTCAACAGTATAAATAAAGAGCTGTCACGGTATGTAAGAAGGAACGATCACTCTTTATTTAGATTAACTCTTTCTTACTCTTGTATAATTAGGTACTTACCATAGACCCAAGTAAACATTACATATCCTCTATAGGAGCCCTCGACAGCAGTGAGTGCCATAGTACATATAGCACACACGAATACGGCAGCTTGTGTGAGGTACTGCCGTGCGATTCTACATTCGGTCGATTTCTGTCGTACCAGGAGACCAAACGCTGCGCAACCCACTGCCCAGGCTAACCCGAGGTAGGCTTGTAAAAGTTCTACTGTGTCACCCAGTCCTGAAAACAATAGATATCTCGGTCTAAAAACTAAGATCTATTTAAACAATGTTAACCAATAAGTTCAAGTAAACGACAAATAAACATAAGTGAAATTCCTACTAGTGCAAAAACAAGAAAAAATATTTTTCTGTTGATCTAGGATAAAAAAAATTGCCCCTGGACCTACGGTTTAGTATTCGAGTGACGCTGTGTTTCGATACCCACATGGGAACTGGGATAACTGTGTTATTCGCAGAAAGCTTAAAATCGCACTTTAATAAGTAGGAAGTCTGTAACCACTACTCGACATATGGTTAATTTTGTGATAATAAGTGGGTACATAAGTTTTTATTACAAAGTGCGATTTTTTAAAGGTAAAAATTTGTTCCATTATGTTACTTTAAGTGTAGTTTGAACGATCTCTTTAAATATTAAAAGCATTAAATAATAAAAGCTTTTACCTTCCTCTTCTGCATGATAAGCCAAATAAAATATAGGCGTATTGATCCCAAATGCCGATATCCCGGTAGACATGAGCAAAATTCTAACTGTCTTCGACTTTAGCGTAGAAAAGTCAAAAAATGGTGGACGGTCATCTGCCTTGTTCCTGTCCTTCAGCTTACGTTTGATCTTATTCTGGTTTTTAAGATGTAATATTGCTCTTCTCTGTGGGTGGTAGAGAGATGCAGATCGATAAAATGTACCCAATATAAAGGTTACGAAAACTACTCCTGTTACAGCCTGCAGCCCTAATCTCCATCCGATTGCTCTGAAAAATTAAGATTAGGTAATAAGCATAAGCAGTCAAAAGACTTATTGTATCAATTGTATATAAGTTTAATGTTAACGCACACTACACTGCACTTACAGTGCAGTGTGGGTTACATCAAGGAATACCATGTTGATTTGCATTCACGTTTAAAACGTAAATTCAAACAAGGCTCTACATAATTCTTCAATACTTCCAATTACTACGGATTGATGATGTCATACTCACCTGATTGCACATTTGATGAAAGTAGACATAACGGCGATGCCTAGACCGCTGCCACTGACGATAAATATTTCGACCAGTTCTCGTCGTCGTTTGAAGTACTGAGCCACCATTAATGTGGAACAATCTCTTGTCAAACCCACCCCTACTCCTACCACTGTTCCTGAATTTAGAAAGAAATTTTATTATAAGCATTGTTAACAAAATCTTGCTTTATCTGTGACCTGTGTATGTGAACGCCGTCACATATGCAGGTAGAACGAATTTTGAAATAATTGTCACTTATCGAGCAGTATGTATCTTAAGCACACATTTGTTAAATTAATGAAAAATCTTGCTAGTCTTGCACGCTAGAGTCAAGCCCTATATAATTCTGTATTCAATATACAGAGGTTTCAGAGGTTTACAGTGTACTACGAATCGAATGCTTTGAGCATTCGATTCGTAGTACACTGTAAACCTTCTAGTTTTTATTTTCGTTATATAAGGCAGTCCTTTCGGTTTATGTCATTGGTTTGTGTTACGTAATATTAGCTTAAAAATATATCTATCTAGTGGCGTATTGCAAGTGAAGGTGAAACTAATATATCTATGTACCTCGACGGTTCAGAACATCAATCCTTATTAGGATCACGGGGGGAGATGTGATATGACAAACGACTTTTTAAATTTATTCCCACGTTATTGATGTACCGAGAATACCAAGTCACCAGCATTGATATAAAGGGAAAACTTCGTCACTAATTTTCTAACAACAAGAATATACTAATACAAGAATATAGGTACACTTTTAGTAAGAATAGATTTTAGTAAAATAACAACAGTTGACTTTACAACTATAATAGCCACTTGCCAAATAATTATTTGATTGGTTTAAGTATCCATTCATATATGTCCATACCGACTATATCGACCTGTATGCAGGTATGTGTATGTTCCTACTATCCAGGTTAAAAGTAAAAAAAAATATTGCAAAATTTACATTCAAATCATACATTTCTATACTTAACATTAACAAATGTGGAAGGTGACTTCCATCTGATGACGGCACTATATGTACATGTAGTCTAAATCAGAATATAGATAATAATGTTTCCATGTTAAATCTAATATGTAACTAATTTAAATAAATTCAAGAATTATTACGTTATACTTAATGTAAAGTTCGGTATAAACTGTTGTTTTACAGTTTTTGTGGGAAGTTCTCAAGATGCAACGAGCTAAGGTACCTACTTTAGTTTGTTTTATGTATTAGGTGTTCGTGTCCAATACCATTATACAATATAGATCTTTATTCAGCAGGCAATCTCTGTTGAAATAAAACTGCATTGAACTGTAGCATCTGACTTAGGCGTCCATTATCTTCTCCTAGATCCGTTCTTTAGATATTGAATATAAATAAAAGATAAATCTTATTTATTGGTGCTTTTGATGTTTCTTGTAAATACCACTAGAAATATTGGCTTTTAAGCCTTGTGATACCTAATATAAACGACCGCAACTTAGATTACATGGCTATTTGAGAGATTAGGTACTTGCTTTAAAAGTCAGGAATCTTTGCCAAAAATATTATCGTATAATTTAGAAATTAATTCACGTCTATAGATAATGTGTTAATATACGAGTAGTTTCACCTATAAATTAAAGTGAATGTAATGTTTCCATTTCTAATACTTAGCATAAGATAGCTCCGATAATTTATTACGGTTTAACTTCTACATAAACCATTTTTTTTTTAATAACAGCCAGTATTACCAGTTTAGATACATGTAAATACGTTAACGTCACGAAACTACAACTCCAATTTAAATGATTCCCATGCTGTCGACATCAGGTTGACATCATCATTACAGATGGGCATAGCATTCATTGCTTCTAATACAATGTGCCAATAAATACAATGAGCAAAGAGTGCCACTTGTATTCTCACTTGCTATGTATGTAGCTAAAATCTTGAGGAGTCAGGTGTGTAACAAGCCAGAGCAGGAGCGCCTGAGCCTTGGTGTGCCGAACCGCTATGTGTGGAGTAGGCGACATCCCAACCGAACCAACTTACTGGCGAAAATGCCACTTACTTGCGCAATCCGCGTAATCAACGAGGTTAGCACTAGAATGGCTATATTCTCGTGTGACTCGAGTGAGCTCGCGAGGGTTATAATAAATGTAGTATCGATAACTTATAATATTTAAATTTTTACTTCTCGTATGATTATTTGCCAATTTTTTCCTTCATTATTATTAAGACTAAACTAATTCAACACATAATTTTAAAATAACAGAAAAATAAATAATAATAATTGTGTTTGTAATAGATAAATAAAAAATGGTAGTACCTACCTACATTATCTTTACCGGAGGCCTAACTCTCCCTCCTAATTCGTGGGAGGGGGGGTCCGCAACGCACACGTATCCCTTGAGTTACAGATGTCCTTTTTCTATTTTTATATGCTATCTTTTTCTACTAGAAATTTACAACCGTGGAATAATACATTCGAATAATTAATATTATAATCATATATGTTTGACCACTATATCTGGTAAGACTTATAAGTGACTTCCCATCCCATCGGTAAAGCCCTTCCGTCTAGGGGTCTTTCGAATCCCCTTAAACTTATATACCTAGTATCTATAGCGCTCATGGCCGGCAAAGTTTCGTGATCTTCATAGGCTGGTTCGTCTTCTGCGGCAGGGGAGACCTTTAAATTTATTGAGGTCTGAATAAGTTTGACGTATATCATTCTCTTATACGAAGTATATATTTATTAAATATTTTTACGAACCAAATTTAAAGTTAGATATTAAATCTAGTTTTTGTAGAATTTACTAGTTCAAAATGAAAATTAATATCTAGTATATAATCTACGGTTTATCTTATTGGTATGTTAAACATATTGTCATTACGGTAGTCGTTACAGCAATATTAGTTGAATGTTATAGTGCAACTTCGTTATTGGGTGCTAGAGTATCAGTAAAGTGGATACATTATCTAGTAGTTTAATGATCCATGGCAAAGTCACATGAAAGTAACGCATTTGTTTTCAGAACAAATAAAAAATAAATAAATTAAATTAGATATTAAATTTGTAAATTGTCAGATTGAGAATTTGAATGCCTTTATTATATTGAAATTGAATTTATAAATCACCACATATTCAAATGCAGCCCCCAAAATAGTTAATTTTTAGGTGTTCAATGAGCACGTACCTACATCATGTACTAAGCCTATTGAATGACTTTTATTTAACATGAACAAATTTTTATTTAGCAAACTAGGCAAAATATTTAGTGGTATCTGCATTTCTTGCTGCACATCTACATATACATATCTATAGTATGTTAAGTTAGTAAACTTAACAAACACTCAAAAAGTTTTGAACAGATTGAGCTCGAATTTTGACACGATAGACAACCCGCTTACGATTGTTTTTAGCTTTTTTTTTGCAAGCCAATGTGCCACAGCGAAGCGAAGCAAGGTACACCTAGTACTTTTATAATATAAGAAAAAACTGATTAAAAAGTGTGATCGAAGAGAACATGAAGTTTCTTGAGCAAATAAAAGTTTTGTTTTGAGTGGATCTAATTCCACGTTACGGTGGTGCGTCACCATTTAAATGCTAAATAATGCTTTTTACCGGGCGCCAACGAGTTATCTCTGAACAGAGAACCAGATTACAATGCACCACCCAATGCAATTTATTCAAATATATTATACTTTTATGATACTTTTCAGTGTTTATTCATGACGATGGAAGCTTCTGCGTAGATTTACCACACAAATTTTTATTAACCAATTTTATAAATAACTACCATTAAAGTATTTGTAACATTAGAAGTCTGCAATGACTTGGAAAGTTACCCTCTGCTTTTTTACAATCAAATTAATTATGATAAGCAACACTCTTCTACTATACCGGCGTGAATCGGCCATTGTCGTATCTTGTCTATTACGATAATCATGTCTAACCTTGACGCTTAATATACAGTATATTAAGCGTCAAGGCGTCAAGCGTCCTTCTTACATAGAAGTTTGACCCACTGAGAGATTTTTCGTAAGTTGTTGTTGTTGTTTTTCGGTAACTGTCGGTACATGTTAAAGAACGACGTAGACTTTTCTGAATAACGCGGAAACAAGGCAATTGTGGCAGTACTATTGTCTCGTTCTAACCTTTTTGACTAAGTGGCAAATGAGTTAAATAATTAATCAATGATCGATCCCAAATTTGAAGTAATCAAAGAGAGCATGTATTGGTAAATCAATTTGATATTTTTAATTTCGATGCTTTCTGAAATTATATCTCAACGTACTTTCGCCGCCGGCAGTTTTCGAGTCGGCATTAAAGGGTCCTGTGCTGCCGCCCTGCCCAATCAACGATGAACCCCTGGAGTGCCTCCACGGCTTGTACTATGGTTACTAGACAACTGATATAAATACTTATATATATATTTTTTGTAAATACATACATTTTATACATAGGAACACCCAGACCAAATCAAACATTACATGTTCATGCACACAAATGTTTGACTTGAGCGGGAATTGAACCCGCGACCACTGGAATAGCAGTCCGTTACACAAACCACTACGCCATCCGTTCGTCAAAAGCTACCTCGTGCACCAGCAAAAGTGCTCGTCGAAGAGCCACCTCCCGTCGAGGATCAGACCCAGATACTTTATCTGGGCCTTAACCGGTACCGAGTCCACAATTATTGAGGCGCCAACGGGGCCCATGAAATAAGGCCTCCGTCTTATCCAGGGCCACCCGTAAGCCTAGCGCCTCAATGTGCTCGACCACCACAGAGACTCCTCTGGTGGCCAGGCGCGACGGCTCTTGACAGTTCGCCACCCGGGCTGTGACCAAAGTATCATCAGCGTAACAAATTACACGCAGCCGGGGGGAAAATCATCAAAAATCATCAAATTCGTGCCCTATGTTCCATGGGAGGAGTCACAGAACAGACCACTGTGGAACACCTCACGACATGGGCCTACACCTCAGATTACCATCTCGGTATTCGTACACGACGCGGGTTCGCTCCTGTAAATAGCCTGCCACTAACCACGTCAGGTACTTTGGCACCCCATGATAGTGGAGTGCGAGTACTAAAAACTACAAATACTTAGTAAAACAATAATTTTGCGCGTTGCATCAATTCTTCTTACAAAATAGATGACGTTTAGAGGATGTAATGGATTCTTTTAGTTTTGTTTAATCAATCACTACATTGTTTATAAATTCAAATGTCACACGTCACAAAACTAATTCTATGTGAAAGATTTCTTTGAAGATAGTATATAATGACCATTGTATTCAACTTATAATCATTAATCCTAGAGAGCGACGACTACTTATCACATGTGCACATGTCGACATTTTTCTCAGAATCTAATAATATTAAATTGTTAAAAGGAATTCTGTTGCATCCGGACTCCATTAATACAGTATAAATAATTGGAACGTTAATGCACCTGAAAATGCAACGCGTGCAGATTCTGACAACTCAATTTATTTCATCAGATTCATATCCGAAACTCGTTTTAGTGGACTTCAAAGGTCCGCTAATTAGGTCTCTGTATAAGAAAACACGCAGATTCCTGAATGACTGTATAGCTTAAAATAGAAGTCTGGAGAATATTGTTTCTCGGTTTACATGATTTATTTAATTTATAAACATTGAAACTGCCGATGCCATTTTGATCTAGTTTCGTAGTGCATAACTTATAACTATGTTAGATAAATTAAAACAATTATACTCCTTATTTTGTAATCAGTGTTTAGTGCTTCATCAGTAAAGTTGTTGTTGTAGAAATTTTGTTGGATTGAATAATGCATAAAGATACATGGTATCTTTATGCAAAAAAAGTTGTACAATCAAAAGGTAGAAACGTGAAAGGCAAGGATGCCATTCTTTTTGATAATAGTAATACAATATTCAGACCTTTTGAAGGATTGACAAAAATTATTGCAAATAAGGATTTAGTATCAAATAAGGCACATACGCCTTGATGGGTTTAAATTGAAAAAATGTAGCCATTAGCTTCAGTATAATAAAAAAAAAACTTGTTTTTTTTAAATCCCGCACAAATAACAAAATTACAATTATTAGTTAGAAAACTAATAAATCCAAACAATAATTAATTTGTTCATTCTCCAGTCGAAATTAACTTACACATAAAGCTGATCTTTAAGAGAATTTAAGAGCTTAAAGTTCTTATTTCAATCTTTTAAGACAATGAAACAATAATTTATTTATGAGGAAAGGGCATGAGCAAAAAACATGCACTACTACTACTTATGTAAGGAGGTGATGAGCATGAAACATGCAGTTTAGATGTAAATCCTGTTTAAGTTTAATTAATGACTATAAATCTAAGTGCGGAAACAGATCTCTCTACAAATACCAACATAAATAAAACTGTTACAGTAAATAGGCAAAGTTAAATTAAGGTTTGTCATGCAGCCATACCCTTTCAAATTACATGAGTTGTGTGAAGTTTGGTGCTAAATTAAATAGCGATGATGAAATCAAATTAAAAAGTGTCCGTTGTATTATCTAAACGAGTGCACACAAAATTGAAACTGATTTATTTATTTCTAAGTAGCATAAGTTATTGCACTGAAATACGATAAATACCAATAACACTGAAAGATAAGTTGCTGGGTTTAAAAAAAAATTACAAGAACTTACAGTTATAATTGTTACTTCTTTTATCACTACACATGAGACTGAAAATTGCAGAAACAATCTTTGGTGCAATAAATAAACATTAAACATCTAATATTGCCACTTAATAGGACATCTGTGATACTTTAACCAGATTAGTGACAGTATCGTTTCCTTACTATCGTATCCTTCCTTATTCATTTTCCATCAATTGTAGAAACAGTTCTAGTAGAGAGCGATTTTAGCGTTTAGACCGCACAATGCACCCTTATTTGTCAAGTTTAATTAGTAGTTTCAAGAGATATATATAAGATTTCACTCTTTTTTTTAAGGTGCTTATGACAATATTTATATTGTTTAAAAGAAAAAAATAATGGGAAATATGGAATTCCTGATTTTTTGTAAATTAATTTTCTGTTTATTTACCTATTATTTTTTTAGATAAGCATTAAACTCTGGAATCAAATCGATTCCACAACAATAATAAACCATTTTATGAAAACCAATTAAATATTGGACATTTAAATGTATAAAACTATAACCTACTTACATTGTTGTTTATAAAATATCGATTTATAAGTGGAATAATAAAAATTAAATTAATAGTTTTTAGATATTATTTGAAAATAGTTACCATTGATTTTCTTACGATAAATGATTTCGTTTTTATGTAAAATCTATCTCATGGGACTCGCAGTTTTAAATTTAAATTTTACGAATTAACAAATATATAATCCTGTCATTAATGGGTTACTCACCATAACTGAAGAATAGCTGGTGAAATTGAGTTGCAAATGAGGTGAAGAGGCATCCTAGGGCTGCAACTAGGCCGCCAACCACAGCGGTGACGCGCGTCGACTTGCGTACACACAGCGCTACCGTCACAGGTGATAGCGCAAGAGCGACTCCTGCTGATAGCGCACCCAGACATCCTGTAACAAAAATATGAAAGTTTTTAATTTTATGGAATGTGACCTGTGGCCCAGAATAATAAAATACTTTAAACTTTTTCGTAAGTACTATCAAGACTTTTTTCAAGTTATCACTTTTAAAAGCGATAGAGCCAGGATATATTCCTAGTAGTCATCTGTTTAAAAAAAAACGATCTTGGTCTATGTTGCAAATTTTTGGCTGTCCTCACGTTTATAGTAAATTAAAAATTGTTTAAAAATAACATAGTAAGTAGTATAATTTATATTTTTAGGCACGAGATATACATGAGATCTGGTAACTTTTTGACAGTGCAAACCAAATGGTCTCGATTTGGCACATACGTGAATTTTTTTGGTAAGATTTCACTCTTTTTTATAAGGTGCTTATGACAATATTTAGTTATATTGTTAATTTTTTTCTTTCTTTTTGTGGTTTATTCATAACAAGGAGTCTCTATATCAATTTTTAGACCTCTAGCATCAACACTGGGGTTGGGGAAGGGCTAAAGTTCAAAGTTTTAGTTTTTTTTGTTCTTTGTGTACATTAGTATAAACAACAAAAAAAAAACAACAATAATAAATTCCACAACAATAATAAAACCATTTTATGAAAAACAACAAAAAACTAGCTTACATCAGGTTTTTAAGACTTCAGGCATCCTAAGAATTTTGATGATTATCAGTGAGTCAATGACGAAATCGGGTTTTTTAGATATCAATAAAATCTAAAGTCTAAGAGCTGCGTAATTGAAACTTTATATAGTTAAGAAGTCCACCATTGACATCATATTCCGAGAATTTTATTTGTCTGGTATCTAAACCCAAGTTATGAGGGTTCAAAAAAAACCTTGAGAAATAGTAGCTAGTGCTTGGCTCGTCTTGGCGGGGGCACTCCAGTGCCCCCAGTTTTGTATATAGAATCTTTGTTTTGTTTTCCATTTAAATCATTGAGATTGATTAAGCGAAGATTTGGACAACATCTTTCGGGTCAGCAAGTATCTAATAGCAATTAATGATAATAATACGAAAAGACATCATAGGCATCAAATCTATTATTTGATAATAGTATATGATCGTCAGTAAGCGATTTTTTTTAGTAAAAGATTTTAAACTGATAAAAATACGTTTGATTATACAGCGTGCCTTTGGTCCTCTTTCCTTTCTTTTTTTATTTTGTTTTTGAAGTCGATAAAACAATGAAAAGTGGTATAAAATGCTACATAAGAAATTTCTTAAATGCCAAAATAAAGTTCACAGAGATTCTACGGTACTAAAACAATAATGCAAAACATCGTACTGAACAAGTTTTATTTATCTGAATAAAATCCCACTTTAATCAATTTTGTTGTATTCACGACATTGTCTATAAACACAAAAGTTGACTGTTGATTCTCAGTGCTTAAACCGTCTACGTCAGCTACGTTTTTGCTTATCAAGTAGCGGACTACAAAAAGCTCGGGTTGTTTATTGTTATCCACCGTCATAAAAATTCGCGTGCGGCCATTCCCTTCGCCTTGTGCGGACACAGAATTTTCGCAGGGCTGCCAGATAGCTGCGATTGATGACCAACATAATATAATTATATGATAACACTTTTATCTATATGTGTTTACACTTTTACAGATAGTTTTGTTAATTTGATACAACATTAAACTGTACTTTTAATTGTTATGGAAGCGTTCCACCCACAGGTGATTTATAGGTCGGGCATGCCGTTATTGCGGCGGTAATACCCGTTATGGAGGATTGGTTCGAGAGGCGTCATGGAACCCTTTCATACTGGCTGACGCAGGTGATCTCCGGACAAGGATGTTTCGGACATCACCTGTGTCTGATCCGCAAGGAGCCAAAGCCTGAGTGCCATCAGTGCAGTGGCCGGACCGTGGACACGGCGCTCCATACGTTGGCAGAGTGCCCGGCGTGGTTGGATGGTGGGTGGTGGCGTGATCTCGTGGTGGCCATCGCAGTGAAATTCCTCTCTCTCGATAATATATGATTGCCGCCATGGTACGGAGCAAGCGAGCGAAAGCGGCACTCCACCGTCGCCTTCTGCTAGCAAGTTATGCTTGCGAAGGAGATGGCGGAGCGGGACCGAGAGAGGATTAGAACTCTCCCGGACCGCCAGGCCCGCCAGATCAGGTACCGCAGACGACACGAGCACTGGAGGTCGCAGAACGACCTTCGTCCTCCAGGTCGTCGTCGCAGGCCTGGGGGTGACAGGTGAGGCCATCTGTCACCCTAGAAGAAGCAGGCCGGTGTAGGGGCGAGACGTGCTGCAGAGTGCGCGCGCCCTTTCGGGAGCACAAAGGGAACATGGGGGTTTCAACACAGGAGGGGGTCACCTACACGCCGTGGATGGCCCGAGGTACGTCGGGGTATATGATTTTTCCTTTCTAGGGTACACCTGGTTCCCCGGCTACTGGTACCCGAGACGGCGTGCGGTCTTTAGTCGGTTCGAGTTCGACATGCTCACCCCACCGGTGGGTGATATCCGAGGGGATTTCCGCACAGGACGGGTGATTTATAAGTTTAAGTAAAGGAAAGAGTACTTTTATAAGTTACCATAAAATGAAAATATGATATAAGCATGTAGTGTTTGTGTTTTTTATGATTGTGATCCCTACGCCGAGTTACGACAATGACTACACTTTATATGAGACTTGACACGTTAGTTAAATGAAAATTATTGATATATAAGGTATTTTATTATTTAAGCGATTGAGCGATCATCGTTTAGTTTAATGGCTAGTCAATGAAACTAAACAATGATCGCTCCCCGGTGAATGATGATGTGCATTAACAACGTTGTCAACCATATGTCAATATTTAAAAGGCTTGAGATGATGGCTATCTACGTTTATGATTGTTTTTGTGACATTAAAACATTTAGAATGACATAATTTTCGTCGTCTGTTAGCGAAGTAATGAAGACTCACATAGGTAGATTATATACTCGTATATGTAGCTTTGGAAGCCATCAGCATTTTCGTGTCAGTTAGGGTTTAACTTAATGTACAACTATATTTGCAATTTCATTTCGGATGCAGATGCCAGCATTATGCTGAATGGACAACTTATTCTAAACATTGTGCCCTAGGGCCCGTCATTACGACAGAAGTGTAAAATTCTTACAAAATTTAACTAACCTCTTTTGCACTAGCTATACGTAACTTATACTTTTTCTTACATATATGAGTAATAATGAAATAGATTTTGGGGGCAAATCGTTTCTCTTTAGCCATAGTAATTGAGCCATAGTATCTATAATATGTACGAGGGGTGATCAATAAGTAATGATAATCGAGTATTTCTAGAACGCACAAAAACCCAAATTATTTTTTTTCTGCTTGCTTATATATCCACTACTTCAGCTTCAAAAAAATGTATAAATAGGACACCATTACCAGGAGATACATTCATTTGAATACGAACTGTCGAAGAGAAAACATCAAAATGGAGAAAAATGAAATAAGAGCTGTCATCAAGTACCTCTGCCAGAAAAAAATGTCTACCAAAGACATACACGGCGACTTAGAGGAAACATTGGGGGAGTCTGCTCCTCCATATTCCACAGTCGCACGCTGGGCAAAGGAATTTAAGCTGGCCAGAACCTCCACTGAAGATGAACATCGCGAGGGACGCCCTTCCACGTCCCTTACTGGAGAAAACGTCAAAAAAGTGGAAGATATCGTGTTGGCCGATCGAAGGGTGACCGTAAGGCATGTAGCTGAGGTCACAGGGATCTCCTATGGCAGCGTTCAAAAAATCATTGTCAACAAAATGCATATGAAAAAGGTCTCTGCGCGTTGGGTACCGAGAATGTTAACCGACGAGCAAAAAAAGAAACGAGTCGACATTTCGAGGGTGAATCTTTAAAAGTTCCAGGCCGATAAAGAATTTTTTTTGTTGCGTTTTGTGACCATGGACGAGACCTGGATCCACCACTTTGATCCCGAAACCAAACAACAATCAATGACTTGGAAACGAGCTTCCTCACCAACGCCGAAGAAATTCAAAGTGTCAAGTTCAGCGGGAAAGGTTATGGCGTCTGTTTTCTGGGATGCAGAAGGAATTATTATGGTGGAATATTTGGAAAAGGGGGCCACTATAACAGGCTCTTACTACGCAGACCAAATAAGAAGATTGCGAGAAGCTATTAAGTCAAAAAGACGCGGTAAACTGCGCGCTGGAGTGCTGTTTCACCAAGACAACGCCCCGGCTCACAAAGCCGCAGTTGCGATGGCTGCCATTGAAGAAACGGGGTTCAAACTACTCGAACACCCCCCCTATTCGCCAGATCTAGCTCCCAGTGACTTCTACCTCTTTCCTCGGCTCAAAGAACACCTCCGGGGCAACAAATTTGAGGACAATAGTGAAGTGATGGCCGCAGTAGAGGCATTTTGGGAGGGTCAAGACAAAGAATTTTTTTCTAAGGGAATCATGGGCTTAGAAAAAAGATACACTAAATGTATTAACTTGCAAGGAGACTATGTTGAAAAATAAAATACTTTTTTTAATTTAATAGTTCTGTTTCATATTGATTATCATTACTTATTGATCACCCCTCGTATAGTAAGCTGATAAACATACTATATATATTTAAAAATACGTAAGTATGTTTATTAGCAGTACGGTTGCTATAGCACTGATTCTGTGGATTGGGATCGGACTGCCGTGTGAGGTTATAATATTATTATTTTCAAATCTTTGAACGATATCTATTTTTCGTGAAGCAGGATATGATGGATAACCACGGACGGAACCATGGATTTGGATAGATAACCACGTATGTAAAGTTAAAGTTAAAATACAGTGGTTGGTAGGTATTAAAATGTACTATTTTTTGTTATTTTTTGTCATATTAAAAACAAGTCCCGCATTACGAATATGTCCTGTGTCGCGGGCGACTTTACAAACATACATGAAACGTACACAAAGAATACCCAGACTCAGAACAACAATTCGTTGATCACACAAAGAGTCGTCTCATGAGGGGATCG